GGACTGTCGGAAACGAAAGTATTTTCTTTGGATTTTTTTGCTAATTCTTTGCTTGGTTTATCGTGTGTATTATTCTTATCTCATGCAAAAAATTTCTCAAGGAATAAGTATGGGATTTGATAATAAATGTGGAAATTTTTCAACATTTCTTAAAAAAGGTTCAATTTTTGAAGCTAGTGTCAAGCAAAGAAATTCTTCTACACTCTGCCATAAAGACCTTTTAACAGTAATTTTTTTTCTAGGATTTTAATATTTAAAATTCCATGTTATCACTATAATAATGGACTGCAAATTAATTCATAACAAAAGGATATTCGAACAAAAAAGAGAAAAAAGAACGAGGTTAAGATTTTTTTTGATGCAACAAGTTTTTCTTATTTCTCTAGTTTCAGCAAGTTATGCCAGTGATTAGTAAAACAAGCCCTGTGAAAGCTGAAGTAATAAAATCAGATGATGCAAAAAATCAGGTGTCAAGCAAGCGATCCAAAAAATTGAAGAAAAGCTTTATTGCAAGAAAGACTACAAATGATTGACATGATAAAATGAGTCAACAAATATATCGAAAAATGGAATAAGAAACGTTCTTCAATTTCTTTGGATTGGTTCATACTACTATTGCTACTCTAGTTTTGTCTGTATTGTGCTTCCTGCATCGAATAAAAGTTTTCAATTATATTATGACATTTGATATTTTCATTAGTAAAAGATTTTGGGCGACCGAGTATATTCTGTAGTTCTGAAGCGTTCGCATCGATTTTTGTTAGCTTAGTACTAGATTAATATGTCGTATGTTTATAAGTTTGATTATATACTTTGATTATATAATTATACAATACTTTTAATTGGAATATTCACTATTGATAAATCTAAGTGAAACATTATGCCGTAGGTCTAATGTTTCACAGATTACGTGAGATAAATATAGGATGGCAAATTCTGATAGACTGGTTCATTGAATGTGTTATGAGTCGGCTCATTATGTCCGGTAAGTTTCCGTGTCTATTTCAGTAAAAGCTACCGCTTTAAGCGATCTATCAAGTCCTGATTTGTTATTTCTCAATTCTCATATCTTTACCTGCAGTTTCCCAGCTTTGCAACTACCGTCAACATTTTCTGCTACTACCGAACTAGGACTCCAAATGACTTTTATCCTTTGAATTGATACGATCTGGTGATCTTCAAAGAAATCTGTAATTATTAAGTATGTTCAGTGATCCTTGATCATTTTTTCATATGTTACAGACAAAAAAAAATTCCTTAAAATTAGGGTTAGAGAAAGAAAGAAAGGAGCTAATTTCTTTCTTGAATTTCCATAACTTGTCCTCGTAACTTCCAGCACTGATTTCATCGCTAATCGCTTATCTGTCGTAACGATCCTTCACCTAAGCCTGCTGTTCTTACCTTTATAACGTATATTTGTAGTACTATACGACCTTCGCCAACTACAAGGTTCATTCATTTACTATTACTGCTACAAATAGTAGACAAGCTATTTATGCACTACAAATTAATTTCACAGTTTCAGTCTCTCATTCAATCAATCGGAGCGTAAGCACAAATAGTATTTGACAGAATGCCACAAAAATCGAGTGTGGCGAATGATGAATTGGAAGTTCTCTGCTGCACTGATTTGTGAGTTAAGATTTTCTAATTTAATTTAGCTAACATCAATTTACTTTGGAAGTTCTAAATCCTAAATAAGTCTTAAATAATTTTCCTTGCAATTAACTTAAAATTTTTGTTTTTATTTGCAAAATAGGTAAAACATGTTAAAGGGAATAAAGGCAGTACTTTTCATATCTGACAATTAGATAGCTAAATGTTATGCATCATTTTAAAGTTAACTTCATTTCATTTTCAGGTCCTCACGCTTGCTGTATTCTTGATACCAAAAACAATAACTTTCTCATATTATACAAGATCCGGTAGTCTTAGGCTTTTGATGCTAATGAATTCTCTCTGTCTCTCTCTCACTCATATCTTCCTCCTCATGTCCCCTCTTTTCACAGTCCTTGTCGTATCACAATTTTCAGTTTTCAGCTTTCAGCTTCAAAGAAAATCTTTGAAATATTTTTTCTGAATTGTAAAATTATGGTCTTCCAAACTCAATTACACATGTCTATTAGTTATGCAGTTAAAATGTTGTCGAATGAGGTAGTTACATGTTTGGGCAAGAAAACTGATGAAATTATTTGATAAAATTCAACAACAGCAACATTTGACAATCATGTTGGTGTAGTGATAACAATCAAAATGCTGACGACGATGATCATGCCAACGATATGATGACGGTGCAGCAACGATCATAATGATGATGATATGTTATCAATAGCAGCGCTACTGATACACTATGATAACGGCGGAATTAAGGGTGATAATGAGGATAGCGATAACGATAACGATAGTGATGATGATAGTGGTGATGAAATAAGAAAGCAAACGACTTTCAATATCACGTCTTTGCTATTTTCCTCCTTTTCTCTTAGCCTTTTCGTTGTACATGAAAAAAAAAACGAATAATAAATATAAAGCATTTGAAGTAAGAGTGTGGAAACCTGAATTTCTTACTTCGACAATTATAGTTGTGAAATTTATAATGAAGGAAGAGTAAAACTTTTACAAAGTTTTTGGTTATCAGCTCACTAATATTAATTAATTTATAAAATTTACTACACATGTAAATATGCTCCATTTTAGCTATTTCGTAAAGCTGTTTTTGTTGAGATTTTGTCAGTCTTCCTTTAAATTTTATTTAGGTCCGAAGTTGCTCAAAGTAATTGAAAAATGAAGTAGTCAAAGATCATGACAGAAACAGAGAAACGAAGATAGTATGAAGTAATCATATCAGCGCAAAACACGCTCTATTTAGATGTAACGTATTTTGAAAAACAGAAGAAAGCGTGGTATATTCCAGAAAAATGAATATTTCTTTACCTTAGCTGTTTGAGGCATTTATTTTTCCCAATTGCAACAATAATCTCTCTAGTCGCATTAATTTATACACAATCAGAACAATTTTACTAGATAATTGCCGTAATGTATTGAAGTAAATAATTATCTCAATTATAGATAAAAGGAGGGTAATGAAGCTTCATTTGTATATTTACTAGAATGGGAAGCCAACAAAACGAAGAAGCATTGGCTTTGATCGAAGAGAGATGAATGTGCGTGCATATGTGTATGGTGCACGGGGAGTGTACATAAATGTGCAGACAGATCTGCAAGCGACTAAATTAATTGCTTTCTAAAATTGCGTTAAATTAGTTCGCGTAGGAACTTTCTTTGAATGAATGATGTAGAAGGCATCATCCAATTACTCTCTCGTTCATAGCAGTTTATTTCGATAATTGTTGAAGTGAGGAGTAAGGAGTATCTAATTAATTGCCATATTGAGGGATAAGGTTTCTTTCTCGAGACTGTCTCGAGAATGGCGAGATAGTGTTAGAGGAAGAGAAAAAAGAGGCTATTGTTACAGGTGAAAGAGAAGAAGGCTGAGTGAAAATCCATCAAAATGTAGCTTAATTAACTTAATTAACTCTATCAAATACAGGCAGTAGTGAAGCTTATTGTTCCTTTGTCGATTATTCTCCTATCCACTCTTCTTCATTCAGCTTTTGGAGGCGGGACTTTAGGAAATAAACCAATTAATTTAGGGTTTAGAGTGAGATGGGAAAAGAGTAATGCTATATGGTCATATGGAATACGGTAGGATGGTTGTGGAGAGGAATAGGCGTGACGACAAATTTCTATCAGATGGGTCCAGGAGGACGAAAAGACTGAAGTGACAAAGAGGCGCTGCCTATTGCCCTTCTAAATTACTGAATTAACAATTCCCAAACAACAACCTCGGTTCCTTTCGTCTTTATTGTATCACTGCGCCATCTATTCCTCTCTGTCATTTATAAAATTATCGCTATCATTATAGTTAGCCTTCATCAGCACCAATACCATTTTGTTGTGACTGTTATTAACTTTATTATTAATCATTAAGGTAGCTGATGTTTTCCTCTTCTTACTGCTTTATAATCACTGTGTTTTGTTGTTATTATTATCTGACGTTTCTAAAATTACTGAGTTTTTTTAAAAAGTTTGTAATCCAGAATCAGGAGTACAAATGTAAGCAAAAGAAAAAAATATTTTTTTAATCTTTCTTGCATTTAAGTATTATAATTAAATTAAGATTTAAAAAATAATAAAGAGATGTCCGTGTCTTCTTTACCTGATTGTTGTTACTGTTTACTTATGTTATTTATTATAATTTATGCTCAGCCATCATGGTATGCCTAGTTTGTAAATAAAATATATTACTCCGATTGCTGGGCTTTTTGCTCATGAAGATTAGAAGTACCATCCGCAACTATTGCTTAGAAAAACTAAGTAAGCTGAAATTACATAGAAGTTACGCAATGGTAGCACAAGCAGAATGTAATTAACTGAACATCACAATAAGTTTTAAATTGAGATTTCAATGAAAAAAATAAAGTGCAGGAATTATTGATATTGCTCTTTCGACTAGTAAATATTCAGTTAACTTATAAGTTGTTTCCGTCACTGTTTCTGAGTTTTCCAAAGCGATTCATGAAAAAAAATACCGAAATTAGTATACGAATTCAGATAAACATCAAGTTTTGATCCGAAATAACGATGGCAGCCGCAATAGTTTGTCAGTGAAGGCTGACAGGAAAAAGGCGAAAAAAGGGAAATTCTTACCAACAAAGAAAAATCTCACCTTGCCGCTAACTTCTGTAGATAAATAAAAGTTTTTCTTCCTTTCAATGCTAAGGTTTATTTTCATGAATTGTCTATTTCATGTTTGCTTGAAATTGTGTATCAAGAGGACTAAATGTGAAAGTATTGTCAAACTAATTATTGTCTACGAAGAAAGAAGCCTGAAATTAGTCAATTAAAATAGTACTGATTAAATAAATAAATATTCGGCAGGATTAGCTAATTCTGGAAGCTATTCAGTTATATATCATCGAATTCATTCTATTATTCAGATGGATAGTATATCAGATTCCGTTTCCGAAGGCCTATCTTCACCGGAGCTATTACATCGTAGTAGTGGGGAATCATATCAAACGAGTTCCAAGCTAAAATTCTCCATACAGAACATTTTGAGACCAGAGTTCGGTAAGGTAAGAGTGTTTCAATGATTGAAAAACAAAATAAATTTTCGTTTCGCCAAATAAAATTGTTTGGTTTTAAAAGAAGAAGTCTTGATATCTTTCAAAAAAAAAAAAAAATTCAAATATTTTTCCGTTCTAATTCTTACAAACCAAATGAAATTTACAAAATTTTCCATAATTTCTTAATTCGAAGTTTGGTTTAAGTTATAGAAATATTGTTAATATTGCCTTTCAAAGGTAATATTAACGGTATTGTGTAGCGTTAATCTTAATTATATGACCTATCTTATTCATCCTAGATGCTATCTTTATTGCCACATATATGACACTTTCAATTACATTCAATCATTGTTGTAACGGTATCAATATTTGAGCATCCAATACTTTAGATCTTGACCATTCTTTTGAATTTTTTAGGATACATTGCTTCCTGGTTATGAAGATTAAATATGAGGCTGTTTGTATACCAATTAATTCCATCTGACAATGACCATTAATGCTGAAAGTTATATAGATTGAGATTTGCAAGAATAGACGTAATTATGTTCTTTTTTTTCAGCAGCACGAAACAGTTCTAAAGCCATGTGTATCAACAACACCGGACAACATGAATACAGTATTCCCAGCTTGGATATATTGTACTCGGTATTCCGATCGACCGAGTTCAGGTACATTTTGGAAATGTTTTCAAATAAAGTGGACCAAATGTAGATGCATGTAGGTAAGTGGTACATCAAGTTGTCTTACCATATGCCATGCTAGAAGTTTTAAAGATTGCAAATTTGAACAGCGACTGTAGAAAGAGCTGAGATATACGATTGCGTAACTTCCTTACTATCTTCATGTCTCTTCTTGGCAAGCATGCTAATTTGCATACGTTTGCATCATTACATCCATTCATCCATCAAAACTACTTTGTATTTATCAAATACAGTTATCACGCATTATAATTATTACTTATTCATGAGAATAATTGCTGAACAAATCCTTATAATTAACAATATTGATATGTTTCCATCAGAAGGTTATGAGTTTTCGTCATTCGTCAACTCATGTATCATTCATTTAAACATTATGGGGAATTATTAATTTGCAGTAAAATTTTCCTTAATTTTTTAATTTGATTTACTATGAATTGTTTTTGCTTTAGGGCCAAGGTCACGACGAACGAAACGGAAAGAAACAAATCTTAATGACGACGAGAAGCGACCACGAACGGCATTTACTGCTGAACAACTAGAACGGTTGAAACAACAGTTCATGGATAATCGGTACCTGACAGAGAAACGGCGTCAGGAATTAGCTCATGAGCTTGGCCTAAATGAATCACAAATCAAAATATGGTTCCAGGTTAACTTTACCTTTGTTAAATTTTTTTTTTGTTGCGTTTTGAATGAAGCCTTCATTAGCAGAACTTAATTCATCATCTATCTTCATAACATTCAGTTTCTGTTTCTAGTCCGAATCCTTTTCCAGTAAAAAACATCTTGACTATCAACCAAAATATAGGATAATTAATAGATGACTTGAAATTAAAATTTTTTCTTCATTAACGTTCCAATATTTTCTTGTTAATGTTTCTTGATAAAGTTTGCTGAAGAGATATCGAGCAGAAAAGAGAATGTGCGATGGACACCAACGTAATTCTTCCTCGATCTTGTCTTCAAAAGCTAGCTTTGACTGTAACATTGCGGAGCTTTGTTAATTTGTTGAAATTAAGGAGAAATAAAAAAAACAAGAAAACAGCGGATGTATAAGAGAGAAAAGTGTTTGAATAACAGGAGATGAGGAAGGAAGGAAGGAAGGGTCTAAATAGATGGTGAAAGAGGCGCAAATGTGAATGGAGAGGAGGTGTGAGTGCTTCTTCCGGATGACAAACTTCACATATTCGTTCTTGTTGGAGATTGAGATTTTACGCTGATAATGGATAGAGTTGAAAGTCTGAACGTATGGATAGTCCCATATTCAAGGTTCATTCTTGAAATGGTTCTCATCCATTTTAATCCTCCTCGGTAGGGAAGTTCCTGTAAACATTCACCATATCAATTAATTCTTTTTGAAAATATGGATCATAACATCTAGGTCACATATGTTGAATCTCATGATTTCATTTTACTGTAAGTTGTTGAAGTAAAAAAAAATTTGGTAATGTAATGGTGTTTTTCGAACACTTCTCAAAGACAAACAAAATGATTAAACTACTGATTTTGATTTTCTTATATGTTTTTTCGCTTTTATGAAACTGCGTTGATTTCTATTAATATTTTGGAATTACTGTAAAACACTACTTAACAATAATAAATAGAAGTGCATGGCAGACAGGTGTGCACATAGAATAATCGATTATTTGATCAGTGTTAATAAAGATTTCGAAAAAATCATCATCATTGTTCCTACAAACAATGGGAATAATTATAATGATGATGGTGATGTTATCAACAGTCATTCTATTATTGTATTACCAGTTTTGCGTCATGTCGCTGTCTTTCTGCATTCCTTAAATTCTGAAATTGACTTATTAGATAAGTAAAGATTTGAAAAGTATATCTTCAAGTGCAACAAATAAGAAAATTCCTTCTTTTTTTCTTTTTTTAAGGATAGATTCAGTCATTGATCAGTTGTGAATTTATTGTTTTCATTCTTTTCAGCCCGCAATTTCACCTCTAAGGAAAATGGATGAACTAAATTTAAGAAAGACTGACAGTTTTGCATATGGAAGTACGGGGCATAGATTTGTGTCTCCATACAAGCCTTGTAATCATTAAATATCGTTTTAGATGAATTTATTTATTATCAGGCAGTTGAATCTTGCAACTATCTCTCTGTAAAATTTGCCGCTATGGGCAATGGACATGTACCTCCGTCTGAAATCAATTTTCTCTAGAACTTGTCTTTTGGATTATGTATTTGTTCATGTTAACTTTCTTCTCAAAGAAAAGCCGAAAAAATTGCTCACTAATTTCTCATTTCCTTCCATTTGTCTTGATTTATATCTTCATCTTTTTCTTCTAGCTTTTTCCTCCTATAATTGCACAATGTAATTTTCTAATTAGTGAATGAAATTTTCGTGATGTCTTACCGAATCATTTGCGATAAAATGAAAAAATCATCTCATTTCATGATAACTTTGTTCATAGCCGTCTTGACAAATCGTGTTCAGCTTGCATATTGAGTAATCCTACCAGTGTCAACTTCAAACACTTTTAGTATCAAAATAGAAACCACTTGTATGAAAAAACTTGCTATACAAAAAGTCATCAACAAAAAGTTTAGTTATGTAGCAAACTGTTCCAATACAAATTTCGCGAAATGGTTTGTGAACACAACTTGTTACTACCGATAAAGTCAATGATATTACTCTTGAAAAAGTATTATCGAATTCTGTTATAATTATCTTTTCCCAGAACTCATTTTTTTCTCGCAGATGATTTCTATTTTTTCAGTTATTCTTCGTGAATTTTCCTGATAGTTCAAAGACTTATTATCTGAATTTCTTACTAGCACATTATCCATTTCTAATATCATTTGTTTGATCATATTGTAAAGGAGTTCAACTAGATATGTTTCCCATCCTTCTTGAAAATCATATCGTGCTTGTTATGAATGATTGCCTGTCTAATGATAAGTATGAGAAAGAAATGTTAATTGGTAAGTAATAACAAGGTGCAAAATGACTGGACTATCTATCGTTACAATCTCTTAGCGGAAAGAAGACGATGATACTGAACTTTGATTGAGCGATAAAACAGTTCTCCCGTCCTTGTTGACATGATATAACCCGTTCATTATGTTTATTACTCAGTATTGCATGTCATCAAGACGATTACCATTAGACATCTCAGAAATTAACAATTTTATTGAAGAATTGCTTGATGAGCTGTCCAGACATTTCGATTTTGTTAGGAAAACATACAAATGAAATAGAACATTATCTCAACGGATGAGCTAGAACTTACTTCCGAGACAAGTATTTTATTGAGCAATTACATGATTTCCAAAAGTTCGTAGATATCATTGAATCTCACTGGGATTCAGACTTTGATGGAGAAAAGCCACAAATCAGCAGAACTCTTAACAGTAGAAATCCTTACATTTATATCAAGAAGTTCGAAGTATGTCTGGGAAGATTTCCTACCACCACTATTTTCAACTACCTTGAGCTAAGTTGGTTGATGGAAGAAGGAAGTAGAGAGGGAGTTTTTTTAATATTTTTTCAGTTCCAATCTCAAGTTAGAGATTATTGATGCTGAACTAATTTTATCAATCAAATTTAATGTTAAATTACTCTTTGTTCCGTGGAAAACAAAAAATCTATTTTACCTTAAAATCTTTTGACAATCTCTAGTTAATTTTACTAGAAATATTGATGCACCATACTACCATTATACACTTCCAAAAACCTCATCAACCCAAATATTGAAAAAAAGAAACCGGTGGAGCATTCTTGTTTTGAAGGTTCATTTCATCGGTAGGGCTATACAACGCAATTTTATGCTTGTATACAATGTATTTCATCTGTGTTAAATAAACCAGTTCCATTTATTGATTTACAATCTTACACTAAGATCACCTTCTAAGTGCCAATTATCGAGTAGATTCCCACGTATTCCTCTTATTTTTTATTATAAAAAAAATAAAGCAATGCCTGCGAACATCAAGAATTCATAGTTCACCGCATTTTGCAGAATTCAAGATATCTCCTGAGCCAAATCTATTCCTGCATTTGAAATTCTTGACTTAAAATTAAAAATGATTCCTGATTTTCAGAATAAACGAGCAAAACTAAAGAAAGCATCCGGACATCGACCTGTACTGGCGCTGCATCTAATGGCTCAGGGGCTTTACAACCATACATCGATGCCAATATTCAATCAACGCTAGGACGGAATTAGGTCAGACGCATTTCTCTGCAATTTCTGATTCGGTTTACATTGATGCTGAAAAACTTAAATAGAATGATGCATTCTCAAAACTTGCTTGCATGCTGGACCTGCTAAACTGCAGGTATAATCTGCAACATTTTTTATATATTAAACGCCCTATCACCCAGCTGGGCAGTCGGCAATAAAATTAAAGAAGTAAACTTCCTTTATGTCCTTTATAACTATATAACGGTGACAGAACAAAGATAGTTTTACTTTAGGAATTTAGTGTTTAAACTATTAGCAAGTAAGGGATTTAAAATCGAAGCCTAACAAAACAATACTGAACTTCACAAACAAATGTATTGATTACGGTAAGAAAGATTAAAGTTTTGTACATTTAGCGGTGCTGTTGTATTCGTTAATCGAAAAATATATGATAATAAATATATGCTTACATTTATTGTTAACAACAAAATACGAACAGAAAAATGTATGAGAGAAATAACTTGATAACCTAACTGACTTTTCCGTTTAGAATCCAAGCGGTCGATTACCAAACGATGTGTACAGAAAGTCGTATAACATTACATCCTACTTATAACGTTTAGAAGCTCTATTATATATCTTTATCATTTTTACACAGATAAACGATCAACTGGTCGAGATTTGTGTCACTTATTCGTTATCAGTTCTAACGTATTGTATTATCACTTCTTTCAACTTACGAGAATCGCGTACAATATCATCAAAGAATTAAAACTATTAAAACAAGTGGCTATTAAGCAACATAAGAATACCGATTCATTTTTATCATATAAACAAAAGATGTTTCTTTGAGGCTTGAACCCAGTAATCACTGAAAGCCTCTAGTTCTCTCCTACATATATTAATTTAAACCCTTATGAACCTACACTTTTTTTTAATATAATAAACACTTCAGTTCTTTCTGAAATTAACTCCACGTGTGTTATACCGTTTAATATAGTACCATGAACCGGGGACCACTTCTTCTTTCAACCGATACATATCCATGTCGTCGTTCCAGTATCTATATAATATAATAATATAAACTTGTGTTTTAGATGCCTTTTAATGATGACCTTCGTTGAATATAAAACTCATGGTTCTTGACAATAATTTGCTAAAATATCAATTTTGTCATAAAAGTCCATAAAGATTACTAACAAAATTTAGTAAAAGTATTTAACCATAATTCCTGCAATAATTTTATATTAATAAAATACAATACAATATAACTAAATATAAATAAACAAAAAAAGGAAGGACGAAGACCTCGCAAATCTTTTGTATCCCGAACGATCAAAATCCGCAGTCGTCCTGTCTGGAAAGAGGCCAGCCCAATGAGCCTATAAGTTTGATTAAGTAAAAAGAAGGAATTTTGTTTATCAAAATTTAATACTAATGATTCTAATGATTTCTACAATGTATGTACCTGCATAACACAACGTTCAATCCTCTGCTGTTGCTTTTTGCACAAACCAGTAAGTTGCTGCGGAAGCACGGTTCCATCTTTTCGCATAAACTGCTCCAAAATTAATACATCTGAATAACGGATCTGCAAGCACACTGCTTAGAATTCAGCGTTAAAGTAAGACAGTTTCCTTGAACAGCTGCAAAATTTTATATGCAAAAATTACTTTGATGGGAACACTACAAGTACATAGTGTACAAGTTTCCGGGCTATGTTTCAACACTTTGCGGTCATCTACATCGGCAACATCCACAACTTCAACAATTGTCGTATCTTCCTCAACTTTGATATCGACTGAAAACTGCTATAAATTTGCTAAAGTAACTCATTTCAAATTGGTGAAATTAAGAATTATTTATCAAACATGAAGCATTTTGAACTAAGAATTTTCCAATCTGTAACAGCCGGAACCACTACAACTCATGTAACAACGATGAGAATATTACGATAGTAACCCCTAATAATATCGAAGTAAACAACCTACTTCTTTTTTTGAAGAGAGCCAACGCAGTGACAAACTGCCTTGGCCAACAAAAAATACGTCCATAACATCCTGTTAGCAGAGGCAGTGGCTTTAACATATATAACATGACCTGAAATAGGTAAACATATCCGGAAAGTGGATGCAAAAAGAAATCTCTTCCTTATTCTCATCATTAGCAATAATCCATCTTCCATTCATTACATTTCCTAATACCAGTAAAGGTATTTAAGGGTAGATAAAACTCTCAATTTTTGGTATCTCATGCAAAATTACCTCTTATTCTACTGAACATCTCAGGGTAGCACCAGCCTGCATCATTAGCAACAAATTATAAGCATTATAAACACTGGAATCATAACCTATACCTTCAAATTTAAAATGAACACATAAACCACACATGTATAGAGAAACAAATCGATTCCCGAGGGTAACTACTCAAGATAAGATAACGATGTGGAGACGAGGAATAACATACTAAGCTGGAAAAGTTGAAGAGAAGGAGGACCGTAATTTAACATGCAACAATTTATGAAACATGAAATTGAAGTTCTGTTTGTAGATGGAGCTCGAGATGAAAGTGTTGGTCAGAAGGTCAGGAGGTTCTTCCCTTGTTAGTTAATATTGAGGTCGAAGTTCATTAGCAATACATGTAGTGCCGCAGTACATACTCTTTGTTTTTTGAATACATAGTCTTCATCCATTATAACAGTCAAAATCTGAGCTATAATTGAAATTGCTGTCGTGGATCTCAGAGTACAGCTACTGCGTGCTTGCATGTAGTCGTGCAGGGATTATTACTACTGATCGAGTGCGTGTCGAGTGCATCAGAATGCATGTCGCAACACTTTGTGTAGTATATCATTTGCTAATCATCGGACAGGTTTGCATATCTTTGGTTTTCTGCACTGGCAAAGCTTATTACCGAAGTGAAGCAGATTCGTATGCTGATGAAGAGAAGGTGGTGTTTTCAGTCGACTTCTGCTGCTTAATGGAAATAATTTTTTTTCTAACTTTTCTAATGACGAAATTTCAGTACTTATGATTTCAGATGAGAATTCAAGAAATTTGTTAACAAGATGGAATTTTAATCAAGAATTTGTATATTATGCATATTCTTCATTATAGATTAACTGAAAAAGGCTATCTTTTTGCTCCTTATTTGTAGTTAGAATTTGATTATTATAATATTTATAATTCGTCGAAAATTTTACAGCAACTTCTTGATCCTTCAGGCGACATTAGTAGTCGATAACGTATGCCGAAAATATGGGTGCCTTTGTGAAAATAATACGATAACATGCATTAATGTGGAACCTGATAAATTTAACCAACATATTCTCAAACTCATGGATGCTCACAGTATTTCATTCACTAAATGCTCTCAGGTTGCTCATTTTCTTATTGAATTTAGTTATATTGAAACTTATTAATTTGTGAAACAATTTTTTTTTCTTGTTCACATGCTATGACCTGTTTCAGAAGTTTTGTTTAAATTTTGGAGTTATTTGGAGTGGTGATAATGGCATTGTCACTATTTCAATGTGAATAAGATACAGTTTATTTAAAGTAATGAAATATACGACAAAGTCAGTTAATTATATTTTGCAGAAGCGTCTGAATCTGCATATGTTCGAAAATTTTACTTCAGTGCGCAGCATTGCAATTCATGATTGTAATATACAACAACTTTTTCCGTCTACTTTGGATTCACTGCAAAGTTTGAATGTTTTGAATTTGAGCCGCAATTATTTATGGAATTGGGATGAAATTTGTCTAGTCTTGAATCAGCTATCGTCGTTACAGACAGTTGATTTATCGCATAACTGGTTCTCCAAGTTATCTCACACTGGTCAGTGTGTACTCAACAAACTGCAGCACCTCAATTTATCGTTCAATCAAGTGAGTTACCGTCACTTATACTTAATTGTTGCTCGACTTCCATCACAATTGTATTTCTGACATTTGACTTTTCGACAGTTGATTTTTTATTTGTCAGTAGCAGTTTGCCAACAGATAGCGATAGATTCTTATAATTTCGAATTAACATTTAACTTATATCAGCTCCAAGTCGATATGAATGGGAAGAACAACCGTATTTTACTGTTTATAATTTGATTTCCGTTTCTTTCGTATACTCATACTTCTTTGTTTGACTTTTCACTCCACTCTCAAGTCTTTTATAATCACAATTCTTTCTCGAATTTAGTCTCACTTTAATTTCAAATACTAGTTTGATCTCAAGTATTCGAAATACTAGAAAACAGATTTAACTATCAGTTTTGTAGGTTTCGGAGTTGACTATAGTGCCAAATGCAATATTGCTGGATCTTTCTTCCAATGGATTAACTCGAATTTATGGTGAATGGCCACTCTCGTTAGAAGATTTAGATTTATCGAATAATCCTGTAGAACAATTTCCCTCACTTTCGTTAGCCCCTCAATTATCTGATTTGAATATGGACAATTGTGGATTAACAGTTTTGCCGTTATCCATTTCACCGAATTTGCAACATTTGTCACTGCAATATAACAGATTAACTTTTATTGATTTCGATTCAGTTAACTTACCTTCACTGCATAAGGTCTGTTTGCTTTTGTATTTAAGATATTTTATTGATGCAAAGGGTAGAAATATGATCTCAATTTATTTCACCTACTAAATTCTGCCAAAATTAAATGATTTTATTTTCTAGTTCTCTTATTTTTATTACAGTCTGAATATTTTTTTCTAAGTATATTTTTTCTTTACATTTTTCACACGAAGAGCATGTTGAATTGTTGCTTTATTTTGAATTCGTGAAGAGATAACGTCTTTGGTTTTTGTTTCTGCGTAGTTTTGTGTCATAAGAGACCGCAAGCTTTCATGTATTTTAATTCCAGAGATTTTTCCAGGGATTTCTGCCTTTGACCCTTTTACATTCGGTTCCTTTTCTAATTAACTAAAAGAAACAATCTCATTCAATTTTTGAATTGCATTTATATTGTTATAGACATTATAATTGTTTCAAGTTTTTCAGTTAAGCCAAATTTTTGTAATATCCATATCTATAATTATACAATGTTCCGTAATACTTTATTTCAGTTGGATTTGAGGAACAGCTTTCAACTATACAGCATTACTGGTATGCTACCAATGAGAGTGAGGGATTTTCGCTTGACAAATTCACCAATGAGATATCTGCCATCAGATTTCTTCTTAAGGTTTAGAAAATTAATAAGATATTGAACTTTTGTCTTCCATACTTGAAGTTGTTCTTATGGACTCATTGCTATCACCAGAATAGTTTGATCTTCCAGTAGGCTCTTTATTCTTTCAGAAAATATTCCTTGCAGTGGAATTTGATAGTATGTTCAGATCAAATTCTGCAAAGTTTTCTAATGAAAAATATAAAGAGTTTCATGGCAGCATTTTATTACCTAGTTTTTGTTGTCTTTCCAGAGCAAAAAACCTTCATTTTACTGAGATGATGCCAAATAATTGGAGCTGTGATAATTGTCTTAGTAAGTGGGCGAAAATGCTACCTGTCAAGTTGCGGCCAGATATGGACTGTGCAGATAATTTGCCTGATAACTGCTCCATAGGTTTGTTATTCTTAGTAGTAATAACAAATATAAATTTAAGTTAAAAATGCTGTCCATGTTCCGTGGTTTTTTTACACGCTTTCATAGTGATTCATGAAGGGAAAGCATTGGTTGGCGATACTAATTACTGAGGAAAACAAATCCGGTAGAGCATTGGGACATATTCGGAAGCTGGTCATTACGTTCGAAAATTCTGTGAAATTATTAAACTATCGAGAACTTTTGCAAGAATTTGGTGTGCTTTATATCCTCGAAATCCGTTTTTTGATTTCTATCTTTTGAATTCTCTGAAAAAAGCATATGTTTTCAGGTATTTCAAAGCGAGTTGAGCGAGGTGCTAAATATATTTTAAGAGTTCCTTATGCAGAATCAGCAATTTTGCCATGTGATGCGTATGGTGAGCTACCACTGTTTATTAATTGGTGGTTAGTTAGACCCAAAATATTGATTGGAAGTTATAATTTTGAGAATCAAATTATTGTAATGAACTGGACTCGGAATGGTGCATATAAAATTATTCCTGGTGGACTCCTTCTTATCAATGTTGCTAGAAAAGAATTGGTTGAGCGATATAGATGTGATGTGTCGAATTCAAAAGTAGGTTTTTTATTCAGAGCTATTTTATTGACTTCAACAGATATTTTTCAATTTATTTTTTCTTTGAAAAATGGTTCGTTTGTACTGAATAGAAACCGAACGTTTTTTAGGTTTATCTTGACACATATTTATATTTTTAGAATCAAAGCGAAATGAAGCCCATTTACATTGTTCTCTTAGATTGTTATTCGGTGAAGAATCGTTATAATCGTTTCTAGGTTTAATTATATTAAGGCGATTATTCATTCTCACACATATTAAAACTTTTCGCTACCAGTTGTAAATTACGTATGAAATAAACGAAAATATACACATATAAATCGATCACTTGATTTTATTGATTCCGCTGCAGATGAGTTTTGTAGGGAAATGCTTCACAAATAATACACTTCCGTTTGGATTATTCAAGTTGGTTCCATTTGGAGATGGTGAAATCAGTGTTTTGGGGAAGCATTCTGGCTGCAATGATTACTTGTGGTATTACTTTCATCTTCAATTTATTTTGGATTACTTGTCGACAAATTGGTTTATGGTGGATAAAAAGAATTGGTGAGCAGAAATATTTCTCTTCCACTTGTAATTTTAATGGAATTATTGCTTCGTCCTTAGAATAATAACACTCTGTTTTGTTGCTTATATTATATATTACATATATCTAATTGCAGATCGAAATTCACATGTTCGTGAAATGGTCGCTGCTGTAGAAAGATATCGACAACGACAGATGTCTACGCTTTCTGATACATATCATAAGAAATTGGAACAAATACGAGACAATTATCGCCAACAGGTAATTATCTGATTGACAAATTCTGAGCTTTTTTGATCTTATTATAATTTCACATTAAAAATCAATAGTTTAGAGATAGTCTCACTTGATGATTGATGTTTTCCATTTCGGTTTTATGATATGTATGTTTTATGAGATAATTTCATAAAAAGGTTATGGTCATTATGTGAAATAGATATCATAGGTTGACCAGCTATGCTCTTCCTATACGTCACAGTCAGAGAAATTTCGTGATTATCGAGCAGCACAAATGGAAAGCATGAATCAGCATTTGGAAAATATACGTGACAATTACAGTCAGCAGGTAAGAATAAGTTACTTGTTATTCTTGTGAAGAAAATGAATTTTATATTTAGACCTGCTTTTTCTGTAAATTATTACATATAGTATTTAATAGTTTACATAATTTGAATTACTAGCCTTTTTCTTGTTTTCAATGACTGTAATGTTTTATTTACTGGTTTAGCTCTTTGCTATTGATCACAGATTCAGTTCAGTAGAATTAAATCCTTTATGAGAAGAATCTCTCCTCATAAACGATTTAATACATCGCACATTTATTTGCGGATTAAACAGTGTTTGTAGATAGGTTCAACTTCATCTATAAATTCAACAACTTATATTTTGAAAAACTTGAAAAACTCCCATGCCCAATTTTGAATCATGCCTTCTCTGTTCTATTAAAGCTTTTTGTAACATTGATAATCATGCATATCTCTGGCTTGTCGTACACACTGGAAAGTTAACATATAATGTAATAGTATTCTTTATTTAAAGATGTGTAAACTGCGGGATTACGGTTCGAAACGAGTTGAACAGCTTTGGGAAGGCTATGAGCGTCAAGTAAATCGTCTCAGAATGTTCTCTTTGCACCAACGTTTGGGTTTGATGCGTAAATACAAAGTGAAGCAGCAATATTTGAATAAGCTTGTGGCAAAATTTGCTGATAATCCTTCTCAATCATTCATGAAACCAGTAAGTTCCATGAAACTAGTCTCAAGAATTCACAAAATCAGTAAACTTTTATATACTTATGTAATAAAACATTGTATACCCTGTGCGAATTACTTTCATATTTCGTTTTTTTTCTTTTTTTTTTTTCACTATATGCATGCAAGAATCGGTGAAATTAAGCAGCTGGTGGTTTTTTTTTCTTTTTTGATCAGTTTAAATCTCTGAGTGGTAGTTGAATTTTACTCAATACACTTGATTCAATCATAGCCAGTACAGAAATTTTTTTGTAATATAAAAGTATTATATCGCTTAATATTGTTTTTTGTTTTTGCAAAATTGTGAAAGTGAGAAACATGAAAATTTCAAGTATGGCAAATACTCTACAGATTTTCGACCTTTCCACTGGGGGACTTCGTGGAATTCACTTCCTATTTACAAATAACAAAACTTGTTCGAGATTGTTTCCTTTTCCTATTTTTATAGCATCCAGAAGTTATCTTGACGGATTCAGTGCGTCATTTAGAAATCCAAACGCAGCGACGAATTGGGTCGTTCCATTCCCTTCCGGAATATATATTACGCGAGGATGACATTTCAGGAACTTTACGTTCCGAAATCCAGGAGTTTCGTGGTCAAAAATTATTTATGTTGGATGTTTGTGATGTTAATCACGATGTACCTTGCTGTTCGAATCAAATTCAGGTGGTGATAATTTGTTATGACTTTTAAAATGAGAGAGTCGTGGTTTGCAAATGTAGTAGATCTACATGAAACAGTTAATCATTCTCTTCATATTTGTGGTGAAACAAGCATCATAATTAGAAAGGACATGATTTTATTGTAGGGTAGAAGAAGATCAGACATGTCGGAGGTAACGATACTTCGTCAGCGATATTCGCTATCAAATGTGGATAGTGAGAAAGACTGCGAGACTCTGAACCTCAGTGATGAAAGTGAACTTTTGCATAATGATGGCAGCACTCTTTTCAAATAATAAACCTATATGCTTTCATTTCTATCTGATTTTTTTGTTTTATAAATATATGATTAGCAATTTACAGTTTTCAATTTTTTATTCAATGTAAATTTCTCCTACCTTTTCTGATTGATGGATTTATTCTGAGGCTGAAATGGATTGCATTAGAAAGTTGTTTCCTTTATCCGTGGCCAATTACAAAAGTTTCTTGGTAATAATTTTCTGATAACCTATTATAGTTAGAGGCCGTTCTTATATACTATACTCTTATGCAGACTGTTTTATTAGATATATAGGTTCGTATTGTTTCATCTTATTAAAATAAAAAAAGATTAGCCATGCCGAATTAGTATGTGAACTTAGTGTATCTTGATTTTGCCTAGATATTGGGTCAGGAAACTTACGATTTTGGGAATTGTTTAATTACATATGTTACTTTCAAACCTTTTTTAAAATATCTAATTATAAAATTGTCATTATTTTTTTATGTCTTTGAGCAATTACAATAATCAGTATATGCTCTTATAATGTTCATCTAGACGGTCTGAAAAATTAGTGAATTTGGAAGCATACGTGCACATTTCTAATTCTCAAATATCCTTTTATCTTCAGAACTATTATTTCTCTTGGAATTCCATTGAAAAATTATGGTAATGTTTGAAGTTCAAATTCAGATTTGGGTCTTATTGAAATGGTATACTGTCGAAGGCATTCATCAGTTCATTATGCATTCTTTTAAACTATTTCGGAGGGTTCTGTGCTGTATTCTTGTTAATATGATGGAAATTTATTTGAACTGCTTCCTAATTTATTATTCGAGCTATCAAAGAATATATGCAAAAAAAAAATGAAATATATGAGTGCATGAGGCATGTCATTATATCGATCTACAAATACCATTACATCTCCAATTGTGGAAGGAGAAAATGACTATCAGGCTAGTTCAAGTATCAGTCCTGTAACAAAGGTTGTTAATCTGACCTTAGTATGATTTCAATGAGAAGTGAATGAGTATAAAGGGAACTGAACAGGAAAGATTTTTACAAGGATAACGGAACTAAGCTTTAAATACTGCGAAAGAGAAGAGAAAAGATGGATAAGGAGTGAAGATGTGAGGCGATAAATATGTCCGTCGTTTTATTTTTTTTCTTTTGATGAATACACTGTTCAACGATTCGCTTCATCTCGCCATATTTTCTTTTTTAAGAGAAATGAAATCGTTCAGTACAGTTAATGTAGTATTTAGGAATAAAATCAGATCCATCTTATTATTCACGGAAGTGTTACTTGGGCAATTCTTATGAGCTTTGTTGTTGCTGCTGTTGTTGTTGTTGTTTATTTGACATATTCGGATGTCAAAAAGTATTTTTACTCTTTAAACTTGTAAGGTCAGCTGCTAAGCATTTCCGTAAAGGAAGAAAAAATATCTGGACTTTGGTACAAGTACTATAAACAGTTAATATGAGAAAACTGTACTCAATAAAGAGCAGCGAATTTCCATCAATTAATGAAGAAATTAATTTCAATTGTTTCGCTTAATTTGTGATCAGTAACAGTTTATTTCCAGAGAAGAGGTGAAAGAAACAAACGGAATATTCAGGATGGTCATTATTCATCCCATTACTTTTCATGGTGATTGTAAATGATGATTGTAAACTGTAGAAAAATTTATCCCTATCTAATCTCATGAATTAACTGGAACTTAGCTGACCTTCGCTGTGAACTTTCACCTTTTACGCTCTCGCTCAGAATTAGTTTCACAATTGCACTACTAGATCAGTTGACCTACATGATGAATAAATACTACTTTCCTCAAAACTATCTTCTATCCGTTGACTCATCTCTTGTGATTGATCCTGGCAAAGTTGCTTCTTCCAGTCTGTTACTCCTACGATCTTCTTCACATCTATACGTTTCCGTAATCTCATTCATCATTCATTATACGCTCTTGAAATAAGATTCTAAATATTCGTTCTCCGATCTCCGATCGACACTGCCTTCCTGCCAATCTCTACTCCACCTCAGTTGTCATTCACATATCTATTTCATATGTTAGAGCTAATAGGATTGTAGTTTAAATGAATTCGTTATCTTTTCTTATTTAATGATTTATCATCTTGTCTTATTCATTCGGAAACTGTCCTGTTTTCCTGATCTTTTCTTTATCATCCATTGATCTTCACGATATCCGATCCGAAATCTATATATTCAGGTGTTTTTGAAGTGAATGCAAAATGTTTCTCATTCAATTTATATATCTTTAAGCTTGACGAAAATGTTGTGATTGCAAAGTTAACATTACTTTCCATTGTTGATAAGATCAAGTTTTTCGTTCTTGTTTATAAAAAATATATAAAATGGCCTATGAATGAGTATTCAGTTACAAGCATTAACATTTTATGTTGTCTTGTGATGCTTGAATGTAACGGATCAACAACAAAGTAGATTTTAAATAAATAAGTTAATGGGTCAGCATATTTCAACATCCCATAATACTTCTGTAGAATAATCTCTGATTTTATGACAAGGTCTTCATTTCTTGAAAACAACTGTCATACCTGCAATTTTTTTTTTTTTTTTTTTTAAAAAGAAAAAAATAGGAATTCTTATATATTTCGAATTTAGTTTGTAAAACTGGAGTTAGCATGTGTTGTTGAAGTTCATTTGAAATTATCTTGCATTAACTTTTAAAAGCTCGAAGATATGATTAGGACTCTGCAAATCATTTGTTAGTATTCAAAAGCCAAACATCAGGTGACGAGGTAAGAGGCTTCATCTCGAACTCAAAGTTATATGGGTGATGAAGGGATAGCTATGTCGCTGACTGGATGAATAGTTAGATAAATCTCTTCTCGAAGTAACTCTTTACGATTTCAATCCAAATGTTTCGGCGCTTCTCCTCTGATTCAAAGTCATTTCTAACTAATATTTTCTAACTAATTCAATATTACTTCTTTTGCCAGCATTTTTCCAAGCAGGTGATGTTATATCAGTATTACTCCATCATTTGTAATTTAGATATTTTGGACTTCAGGGAAAGTTCAATAAAATCCAAATTTTTCCGAGTATGTCAATTTCATATAAATTCTATTAGTTTGTTTAAATTTCACTTTTAATCTACCGCTCATCTCTAATAGGAAAATAAATTGAATTCAAACAACCTGAGAAATGAACTAGATTTTCTCAAGCATATGAAAAAAACAGTAAACAAAACTGTGATTATTATTCGTTGAGGAATCAGTTGCTGTTCAACACCAGAGTTACTGGATGTTATGCGGTGTTTGGTTAAAATTAGGTTTAATTGCTTGAAATTGAACCATTTCTTACTACCTTGAATGAAACTATCTGATATAGCCTTAACAAATGAATTCTTCATTATTTCAGCTACAAAAGTTTTGCTTAAACGGAGAGGGAGTGGGAAATCCGATCAGGTAGTGGGTAACGTCAATTCCTTCCTAGATTCGGCAGGTATAATGGAGAAGTCCGGAATTACAGAGAATGAAGCAGATGAATCGGATTCCTTGTCTGATGATTCTAACTATCACAAACCGTTGCGCAGAAGGAGAAGTGCAACTGTGTCACCTGCAGCAGGAACTCGTTTTAGGCATCACTCCAAGAGCAGGTTTAATTTCCATTATCAGCATAGGCTTTCCGGAAAACTGCGTACAACTGTGAAAATGCTAAAATACTCAGAAATGATTCTCAGCACTTTCCAGCACCAGCATTTAGCTTTATATTTGTATTGTTATTCAAACTTGAAAATTGAGTATATTTCATAAAATTTAATCATTTCATCACAATATTAATTAAAATGGACAGAGATTGAATAGTTTATATAAAGTAGAACCTAATGTCTCATAAGTTCAGGATATGTATCTTAAGTCTGCAACTTTTACTCAAAATAGGCTCTTTGTTAGGGATATAGGCCTAAGTTCGGAGCAAAAAAAGTTGTAGCCATACTAACTGCATAAGCTGACTTTAATTTTAGAGTAGTTAACCCAACAAAATGAAATTTTGAATCGATCTGGCAAAAATAATGTTATACTTGCAATTATTTAAACTTCACAGTAATGTAATGTTCCGTAACTGTGGCAATTTTTTTCATAAGCAATTTATTGCGGAAAACTTTTTGATATTAATAAACGTTAGAATCATCATAATCCTGAAAGAAATGCCTTTTTAAGGATCATCAACTCTACCAAAACTAAGTACAATTATTGGCAGAATATTTTTTTAAGAAGTTGCATCACTTGGTGCTAATCAGAAATTAGAGAATAATTTTCTTATTAAAGTGAATAAATCTATTTAGACGACGTTCTGAAATGAATTTGATATCGCCCAAACAGGCTCCATCGCTAAGACGACCTGACGGATCACGTATGATTATGAAATTTTCGGGAAAAATTTAAAAAATGCTAATGGAAAGTAAAAAAAATTAAAAAAGCAATGATACTTCTTGTAATTATCATCTATTCACATTATCTGGTTAGCACTACTTTTTTTTATGCTAACAAGATTGTAAAGAACGAAATGAATCATTCCATTGAACTTTAACTTATATCTTGATTCTTCAGACATGTCTCGAAGATATGAAGACAAAGATAGTTTACGGAAAACAAACAGTATGCCAAGCTTTGAGAAAACGCAACAAGTATACACATTTATATATTCTTCAGTACTTTTTTATCTTACACTTAGAACTTTCCTGTAAGATAAAATTTTTTTTCCTAGAACCAATGATATTATATGATGCATTGCGGTTCACTTCGCCTTCCTGTCAAGACATGAGGAATATTGTTATAAGTTATGCAAATATTGTACTAGGCTCTTTCAGGCACATGTAGAGGCTATACGCCAATTGCTGGACTTATTCCCGATCTCTCCCTGTAACCAGAGTTCAAGTGTACATGAGGTGAGTGAGTTGGAAAGTCGGAAGTTGTTGTCTCATCAAATGGAACAAGGAAATAAATACATTCAAGAAAACAGGAGCAAAACATCTAAACAAGTAGAGAAATTATTATATGAATAAGGGATTTTGATGCAAATTCATCAAAATATCTAAAACCATTAGTAGTTTTTAACTTGTCCTCTTTGTTATATTCAAATTATGTCACTAAAACATACAAGAAAAGTCATTCAAGGTCTGGCAGCCTCATCGGCAGAAGTTAATGCCGAAAATGGACGAAACAGAATCTGAAGATGATATCATCAATACAGACATCGAAGAGTTGCGTGATGCTGCCCAAAGTATTCAATCATTACAACGTGTTCTGAAGGTTCCACCGGAATCAACGAATATAAACGGTTAATCAGTGATTACAAATAGGTGGACAATATTATTTAAGGAAATAAATCAAACATTTATTGGAGTATCTGGTAGTTATTTCTTTATGCCCAAATTAATCGCTGTTGAATTTGAAGTTTTCATTGAATTAGAAAATTAAACCATTTGATTCATTGAAGCCAAAAACCTTCTTTTGTATTCAGAAGAAGCTTCTGAGCTTGCTCTAATCATAGCTCACTTAATCCGGTAGGATGAAACCATTACTGAACTAATTCTGCAATAAGCTGTAACCTGCACTTCTCCAATTCTGCTTGTGTCTTTCTTCAAACCGCTTTTTTTCCCTTAATTAATGATAATGTGCACATCCATTCTCATCCATGCAACCATAATTAATTAATTAAGTTGTTTTTCTTACTATAATTTCTATTCCTTTCCAGTCGAAATGGTTGATAGGCGAACCGATTGTCCAGTGGAGGGAGATTCTAGCTCGGAAAGTCTTCGTCAATCCGGCATTGCGTCAAGATTAGGTGGACATCCGCGTGGCGTCATCCAGTTTCTTCCATCTGCGAAACAGACCGAATTTTTCCCGGCAATGGACACGTATGACACGTATAATAAAAATAAAACAATAAACAAAAAAAGTTTGTTACGACGGAAAACTTCTCTTCCAGAAATATATGATCAGGTTCTATTAGACTTTTGCTTTAACATTTTGAGAAATTGCCCTTAATTTATCACTTAACTGAAGTTGATCTAACTGTGACTCAACAAGTAATAACTGGAAGTCTCTCATTGTAGGTATATTAAAAGCAATTTCTTCATTTATTTCAGGTATGTAATTCTAGTGGTATTATTGGGCCAGCAGCAATGAAGTAAACTTTTCTTCTGTTACTTCTAAATACTTATTTATTATATTCTGTGATGAATAATACTTGGAGAAGATTTTTTCAGACGGGTTTTTTGATGAATCCAATTTAGTGCAGGGTCTCCCTGTCCACTGATAAAATAGCTGATATCTGATCTATTTTAGGTGGAAGATTTTTCCGTTCTCCATCAATCAGACTTGCAACATTAATGTTATACATTTTTAGCAATACTTGCAAAAGCGGTAGGTGGTCGTTTCGTAGTGGTACTCCAAATCTTCAGTATTCATCGAAAAATGCTGAAATCATTGAACAAAAATCACCTATGGACTCATTAACTGGTGTTAGTCGGTTCTCAAAACTTCTGAAATCATTGCGCTCCTCCAGACAAAATTCACCGGAACCTCAAACATCCAACTCATGGTAAAATTTTATAGAATCTTGTAATTTACACACTTATTTAAGAAAAGAAGAATTGAATTTCGAGTGGTATTACTTTGAAAAAAATTCTTTCTGTTTTAATTTAATTTAATTATAAAAAAATTGCGTACAGGATGTACGACGTGCTGTCAGTTATTCAATGATCTGTTTTTCCTTCAGTTATAAATAGTTGAAATATTTGAATCGTATCTTCAGTTTCTAGAAGATGACGAGTTTCGCATGAGAAAGGATACATCGAATTAAATTACAGGAATCCTTTGATTTATACAAAAACTTCTAGTGGTTTAACTAATCCAATGATGCAAGCTGATTTGTTACTTTGGAGCAAACGTTCTCGAGCATCGATTCGAAGACATAATGATGTCCGCAATATGGCTATTAGGGAACTTTGCGATACTGAAAAAACCTTTGTTGAAGACTTGGAATATCTTACTCAGGTTACACATGAATTTGAGTCTAAAATTTTAAATCAGAACTTCGACTTTGCGTTCATAAGAATGTTTGAAAAAATAAAAAACTTCCTGAACACTTCTTTTTCTTATTTTAAAATATTTTAGTAGTTATGATTAAAGTGTCATTCTAACGATAGAATGTGATAGGTTTTTATTCATTATAGAAGTATATGCGACCTTTACGACAGCCACTGGAGTGTACGTTGATAGATCCCATTCTAGCTGATAAAATTTTCTACAAAGTTCCAGAAATCCTAATTCACCATCAGGTTGTTTCTTCTGAATTAGTTCTTATCATTCCAGTCTTGCTGTTCCGTCTTTAGTAGTTTCGGTCATTTCCTGGCATCTTAAATCACGCTGTCAGAAATGATAAGCCTTACTATCCAGCATCATGAATCATTTCCTCGCTTGAGATTTGCAAGAGTTAACTTCTTGATGAACGTACGAATTTCATTATTTAATTATATAAGGATTCAAATTGTATTGCGTTATATACCTAATTTTTTATCTCTTGATACAGCCAATGTCTGAAAACAATTTCTCCTTTTTTTCAATAAATCTGATATCAAAATATTGAATTGAAATCGTTTTCTATATTTTTTTATAACGCAAAATTTCTTTTCTCAATTTTCAGCACTTTTTAGCAGCATTGTGTGATAGATTAGATGCATTTCAAACAGATACAAGAATTGGTGATGTGCTTCTTTCCCATGTAAGTTAAAATAAATTAAGAAATAACAGCAATTTTCTGTTTTTTTAAATATATAAGCCTTAACAATAATATGTTACTTAGTGAAATGTTATGATATCTATAGAAATAAATAATGAGAATTGGAAAATTATTATTTATTAATATTTAAAGACAGACCTTGAAAACTCTTTAATCAAGAAGCTTCTTAATCCTTTTGACACAATAACTGTTATGTTCTGTGAACTGTACGTACTTATAACTATTAAAATAGTTATAAGCCCATCATTTATCTTGATTAACTTAGATTGGAGGAGGTTAATCTAAGCACGACAATCAGTTTTGGAAGTTTTTAGAGAAAGTAGTTTATAAGGAATAAGTACGATTGGTTTCAGTTTCGAAAGCAATCAATGGTTGATACATACATTGCATTTGTTGATAATTTCAAATTTTCTAAACAAAGTATAAAACAAGCACGTGAGCGTCCTGCATTCGAAAAGTATTATATGGTAATTTAAAATGTTTTTATAGTCAAAAAAGGAAGGGTCAATTTTCAGTTTAAGTAGTATAACGTTTGCTGTTTCTACTTATTGCGCTTTTGCTACTTTAAAATCTGACCTACAGGTTTTGGGATGATGTGGAAAAAGTGGAGACAAAAGCACCATTTGTATTGACGATTTAGCTAGTAGGCAGAATTCAACTAAATCTGACTCTACTTTTTATTTTCATTTTTCTTTTATTTATGCTCAAGCCACATTAGAAATTAGATCAAAACTTAGGGCTTAAATTCTTGTTAAATGAGAAAATTTCCAGCGGTGTCGACGAGATCATCGGAATAAACTGGACTTGGATTCCTTACTTATTTCACCTATACAGCGAGTTCCACGTTACGAATTAATTGTAAAGGTTGGAATTCTTGTACTTTGAACATTTTATAGTTAGCTTCTTGTAAATTTAGGTGTTCGGAAGATTGTGTGTCATTGATTTACATTTCATGTGAATGGGTGAAAATGAATCGGTCCTAATATATGAATGGAATTTTGTTGAAAGACTCTTTGCAGCAAATAATCAAGCATACATCAGTGGAGCATGCTGATTATGATAGCTTATTGTTAGCTCAAAAATATATCCATGAACTGGCAACTAAAATTAATCGACAGAAAGAAGAAAGTGAAGAAATGGAGCAACGACTACGTGAAATTGAAGCCATTGTTGATGGCCTTGATGATGTCAGTGTCAGCAATCTTTATTAATTTAACTCTTCCATATTAATTAAATTATTCTTCACTCGTTATCCATTTTTGAGATTAAATAATTTGATAAATGAATTTTCAGTTGGTTACAACTGGACGGTCTTTTAACCGTTATGATGTCGTGACGATTTTGGGTACAAAGCAAAACAAACAGCGTTGTCTATTTCTAATGTCTGATCAGATTATCGTAACAAATGTAAGGAGAAAATCATCACCCTCGTAAGTATCAAATTGTAATAGGAGATAAAAAGTTTCATTTTCGAAGTTTGAAATAGTATGGGTAATATCTCATCTCAAATCCAGAAGTTTGCAAACTTTTCCTTTCTAATCAAAAGTTTTTATTCATTAATATTAAGAAAAGATTTTTGGAAAGTAGTTAGAATTCACTTGCAGTATGAATTAACAACTATCAATCTAGTTAAATTTGATTACAGTATTGACAAGCTTGCATGCTCATTTTAGTTTCGAATAGTGAATTGAAAGCATATTTGTGTTTGTAAGCCAATGAGTTTTGTTAAGAAGAGAAAGCAGTTAAAATTTTCAGATTTCATTCATCAGATTTCTTAGATAACAATCGCTTCAAGCTGCTTTTCAAGATCTCATTAGATGATGTTGTAATTGCTAAAGGTGACAATTTCTCTTGCTATTTCTATAAAAAAAGCAGTCAAATCTCGATTTTAAATGAGATTATCCAAATTAGAAGCCAAAGATTGGACAATACGTTTATCAGTGTTGCAATGAATTTATAAAAGTATGGAAATACAGAAATTTTAGTACTGTAATAAACAATAATTGTAAAAACAAATGAAAAGATGCTACTTAACCCTTGACTTATATATTACTAACTATGCAATGTTATTCACTCATTCTACTCCATATAATTAAGAATATTTCAGATACTTTATCATTACTGCATACAGCTGAAATGGAACTACAAAATGCTCAGGAAGATATAAACATTGTGAATAAAATGACTGAATTATCGAAGTTACTCAAGAAACCAAATGTTGTATGTTCTGGCTGATGTATATATAATCTTCTAATCTAACCGAAATCATTTCCGTTGATATCTTTTTAGTTAAGTTATTAACATGAGAAGAAAAAGAGTGCGAAATAGATTCTTATGCCTTATTATAAATTTATCTTACTAGTGATATAAGACATTTTTCCAGGAATTAGCTAATATGTTAGACAATCTCGAGACTGAAACGATGCATCGAAAACGGGTTCTTCAAGAACAAATGACATCAGATCCATTGTTAACCATAGTGCAGCTGCAAGTCACAACAACGTACTGAGCAATTCTATAAAGCTCTTCCCACATCCTTTTTCAATTTTTTTTTACTAAAATTTCAAATTCTCAATTACAATTCTGCGTTAAATTTTGCCAGTTTCCTTGGAAGATTTTCCAAATTTCGATCTAAATGTGTTGTTCAGATCATCATTGAATCTTTTCTTGACCTACTTATGCCTTACGATTTTACTATATAATTTAGTTAATTCGGAAAAATGGGGTAGATTGACAGTTTTTTCTGGTCGCAACAATCCAATCTCTTTTCATTTTTGTGATTTGAGAATGATAATAAGCAATAAACTCAGAGAGAGAGAGAGAGAGAGAGGAAGAGAGGGAGAGAAATTGATAGCAAAATTAGATGTCGAAATTAACTTATTGAAATTAGATATGGGATTACTGCCATTTACTGGATGATGTGATATCCTGTATTGCAAATGAAGTAAATTGCACTTGTTTACAGAAATGGTGTTGGCGTACTCGTAATACAGTTTCCCAGTGCCGATCGACGCGCAATTTGGGAGAATGCGTTGATTAAAGCAAAGACTGCTCTAAGTGCTCATTACTCATTGAATTATTTTACCCTAATTGTTTCCCATGATTTCCCATGGTTTCTTGGTGAATTCTTTTAGTTATCCAATTTTTAAAGTTATCTGTGTTTCAAATCACTTGCAGAGAATGAAATGCAAAATGAAGAAAGGCCGAATCACCTAAAATCAATTGTAACACATCGAACTCGTCCTGGGCTAATGGTTAATTTCATTTTTTGTGCTAAAATTTAAGTCTTATGTCATGTGATTAATGTTGTATTGATGTAATGACTACTTTTCAAGTTTGTCTGTTACGGATCGAAAAATTGCGACTAAGTATGAATTACTTTTTTGAATTTTAGTTCTCTGTAGCAGCGGCAGCTTTCGGGAAGAGTGCAGAAGGAGCACCGAATGTTTGGGTCTGCGCATCAGATAAATTTTCCGGTCAAGTTACTGTCATAAACGTAAACGGTGAACCGACTATAGAAAGTACTACAGGCATTGGTAATGCAGCTATTATTGCAATCTGTTCCGTACCCGCTCCAAGGTATTACTTGTTTTTCTTAAACCTTCTACCCGGTTTCTTCTAAATTGACCATGTATCATTGGTTGACCTAATGGTGACTTGTACTCCATAGAATTAAAGATTTTGTTTGCTTCATACGTTCTTCATAGATGTTGTATTACTGGAATTGCATATAAAAGGCCATTTAACTTCAGGAAAAAAAGGAAATTAGCAAAGTTGGTCGACTCGTCGTTGAAGGATTTACCCGGCCTAGAGCTTGACAGGTTTGCTTTACGACTCTAATGGAAGACATTGAGATTTCGACAGGATATTTTAAAAAATTGTGACAGATGAGAAGAAATAAAATGTATCTTACATTTAGCACTTCATCGGAATCAGGTGAATCGGATTTTGAAACAGCTCGACGAAATATTCAATCTACTGTTTGGATTGGCAATGAGGATGGAGAGTAGGTTAACTGATAACTGATTTTCTAAGAACCAATTTTTCAAATTTAGAATTTTTTAATTGCCAGCAAAATTTCTTGGAAGAAAGAAACTATTTTGAAAACAATTCTTTATTTTTACTTCAATAGCAAGTACTTTTATTCTATCATAAAAACATTCTAACGCTAACGTATTCCTCAGTGATGCATCAAATAATAGCTTGATTAGTTGAAAAGATTATTAGTCTTAACATTTTGTTAATATGAGAAGTAAGCTTTACTAATTTAAATCCTATTAATTTCGCTTTTATATTGAATCACACTGCTTGAAAAAAAAAAAGACTTGCTAGAGGGATTATCATTAAAAAAAGAAATTAACAAAAAATACAATGCGCATCTTTCTACATCACATCTTCCTACATCTAAATACTTGTTTTAATACTGTTTTCTATTACTTGTTTCAGAATATTTGTTTTCAATCTTTTGGATAACGTCCGATTGAAGGCTTGTGAAAGGATGATCAGACTTCCGATGCCTGTAGACGACATCGTTTATTTGGAAGAGAAAGTTTTCGTTTCAATCTCATCAAATTCACACATTAAACTATTACAATTCCAAAGAAATAAAGGTTTTAGTAATTCATTTCAATATTTCAAATTCTGTAAATATTAGGATAACAAATATATATGAACATGTACATTAGTAATAATGGTTAACTTTTATAAAATATATTATATTCTTTATTTAAAATCGTAACGATTAAAATATATAATAGATAAAGTAAAAATCTTAGTCCTGTTGATTACCTGAATTTTCCAGCACTGACTGCCTGAATTCAATTATATTAATACCGAAAATAATCTTAGCTTTTTCATCAGGCTAATGTATTACGTCCGTAGTCGATGAGAGACAACTGAATAGTGTCAGGGAGGGAAAAGCTTAGTGAGTAGTATTGGCTAAGTTATTAGTGAATATAAGAGATAACTCCTTAATATCTGCTTATCACTGTCTTCTTTTCAGAAGGCAAATGGGATTTAGATAATCCGAAATCAGTTCATGTAAATTTTCGCAGACGTTTAAGACCTATGAGTGTTGCTGCTTCAAGACTTTGTTTTGCATCTGGCAATTCAATTTATCTGTTAAATGCTTCTACTTTGCAAATTGAAGTTTGTGTTTAATAAAAGCATTTCTTTGAGAATGCCAAGGAAATAATATGATGACAAGAGAAGTTCAGAAAAAGAAGGGAGAAAGTTTTTTCAAATTTTATTTTTCATAGCTTAAAAAACTCTTAAAATGTTCGTTTTTCTTTTTTGGACATGTGCGAAATTCACTTCATGTTTCTTTAGAAGGATTCCAGATAATTAGTTAAAAGCAAAAATTTAAGGAAAATTATTATTGTACAAGACTGTGAGATCAAAGATGAAGGTAAGCAGGATAGATTTTCATTTCTTAACTTTGAATTTTGAACGGAAAGTGAAATTTGGTCATTAAAGAAACAAGCAGCAATAAGTACAAGTGCTATGGAGATGGTAGTTTGCATGGCTGTACTCGGTTCAACAATTTTTGTAGCCATGAATAAGTCATCGATTGTTAAAGTAATCAATGCGTTTACTTTGGATTGCCAACAAGAGTTTAGTATTTCACATGTCGTCAATAAGGCATTGTCGAGTAAGTTTGGGCTTATGTTCCTTTTTGAGCGATAAGATTTACTGCTAATCAATTTTAATTCTTATGTCCAAAATTTTATTACTGATTTATTAGGGGAGAATTGTCAACATATTGGTCTTATGATCTCATTTCGTTCAACAACTTTGTCTACAGGCAGTGAAGATATTATTCGCAAACATAAGATGGGATGTTTGAGGATAACATCACTTTTATGTTGTAACAGTCGTCTTTGGATTGGTACTTCTGCTGGTATCGTTATTAACACACTCATTCCAAATAATAAAATGTTAAACTGGACACCTTCATTAAATGGTATCTTTCGATTTCAACTGAAAGTGATGGTTAATGCTTATGTTAGTAACTGGTGATAAATGGATAACTTTGGGTAGAAAGAATTGAAAATAGAATCTTTTGTCCGAAAGAATGAAAATAGAAATGGAAAAGGGAAATTAGTAGTAAATATCTCTATGCAGATTGAACAGATGGCCAAAAAAAGAAGTGGAGGCATTAAGTTTTAATGTCATACAAGGTGATAATCACAGATTCTTTAGATAGTACATGATGAATCATTTTTCTAGAACAAGTAATTAACATTTTTACTTTAACATCAGTTTCATTTCGAAAAGGACTTTTTTGAGAATTATTTATGATTAGAAAAATCGAACTAGTGTCTCTGCTTCACATATAAAACTATAGACAGAAAGCTTTGAAGCTCTGCGCCGTTGGTAAATTGATAAACGTTTTTTACGAAAAGAAATATTAAAGAACAGTTCGATCATTTCAGTGTGCCAAGCAGGACATGTTGGACCTTGCAGATTTCTGACTGCTGTTTCGGCCACAGCAACACCATCATTCGATTTACGACGTCGACGAATGTCACTTAGTGCTCCTATATTACAACAAACTGAACAGGTGACATTTTACATCACAACGTTGCGATGATTAGTTTAATTATCTAAGGGATAAATAAAGACATATTTATAAATCTCTTCAAACCAACACGCTAAAATCTTACTGTGCTCAATTCATGTACAAGAATATGCATCCGAGGTTAACTTTTTCCTCAAAATACAGAATCGTTGTTTTATCGGTAAGTGCAGGCGTCAACCTTAATCCAGTATCATTTGCTTTCATTACATTCCATTCTTGTCTTTTTTTTCAGATGTTCGTAGTAAGTGGTGGTGAAGGATTCGATAGTGGTGCTACACAAGTTGAGAATGAGAAACGTGAAATTGATGATGCCTTGAATTACTTGTTGTTTTGGTCTGCTTAGAAGCTTTTAAGACGTCAAATGCTGTACAAATTGTTGTTTTCTTTAAAAAAAAAAAAAAAAAATTAAATATGTTGTTGACATTAATGGAATTTTTTTTTCATGACTTTTTCCTCATGACTCCTTATTTCCGGAAATAGCTTCTACTTCTTAAGTTACTTTATATATAATACTGTAGCACGATGATTCGTTGCTTTTATCAGTATCTTATGGAAACTACAAAACCATCGGATTGATTCAAACCTTTTTCTTTACCATCTTCAAATAAATTCTGTTTTGAACAGCTTCGGTACTTTCCTGTTGGTAATGCGTATCAACGTATCGATTTTATGATCCAACAGAAATTCAGTCCTCTCAACGAATTGCTATTCTTCTTTCATATTTATCTGAAAATTCACCATTCCTTTAAGTTTTCGTATGTAACATAAACTTTTCAGGGCCTAACGCAAACTATTATATATGAAGTAAACTTAAGAAGTCGGAGTAAATATAACTCATGAAAGTCCAGTTTTGTAAAAACGAATCTCGTTAAGTTTGTGAAAGTCTAAAGCATCGCAGTAAATGACTCTGCTGGAGGATTTCGGCTAATGTTTCAACTGAGTGGAAATAAAAGAACTATTTTTGTTTCTTTTTCTTCGCCTTCTTGATCTAGAAGCTGACATTTAACTCAGACCATAATTTACTCAGTGAACTTGAGTAATAACCTGTTGGATTGAGAAGAACTTTTGCTTGTTAGCAAAAATTTAACGAAGCTCTCTTCTCTCGGATTATATTAACTTACACCAAAATAACAACTAATCCGATCATCGAACGTCCCGTCCCCATGTACCAATTTTTTTCCACTTCATCGTTCACCAATAAACAAAAATTCATGATTGCTTTGGACGGAAGACGAGTTTGAAATTTAACGTCATCGATTTTTCTTAACCTATGACATGAAGTTATAGACTGGACTGACCTCTATAAATTATGCTAATTATGTTTTTGAACATTTATTAAAGATATTTTGCGAGTTCTTTTTCTCCCCTCGTCCTTGAAACAATCTTTTCATTCTGTCGTTCTCTCTCTCTCTGTCCTTCTAAAGAAAAAAAATTTTTGCATATGCAATTTCAATCTGAAAAAACTTTGATTTTTTAATGAAATAAAAATCTTGATAAGACTCAATGAAGTTCATTGATAATTGTTGGAATTTACTTAACTGCTCATTAACTGATTAGTAACAAAAGATGGACTCACCGGTTTGCCCTTACTATTAGTTTTCAGTTATTACTGGAACTGTTATATCAGTGTAATTGTTTGTATTGGTTCCTAATGTTTTGAAGTCTAACAACAGATAAAATATACATAGCGCTGGCCATTTACAAAGTGCCTTGTTTAAATTGTATGTTTTACGCTATGATATCTTCTTCAGGAAATTTTATAAGAAAATGATATGCTACTTGTCTAAAAGTTACTTGAGATAAAATTTGAGATTTCTTACAGATAGATATACAAACGGGTAATGAATACGCTGATGAAGAGTTGGGTCTGTTAAAGACTCAGCCAGTTATTCAAAATTATGAACAACTAAAAGCATCAAAAGTGGCCCAGCCAAGTTTGTTGGGATCGACTGCGGTGTGTAAAGAAATGGACGAAACAAATGTCACGGACGAACTGGTTACTGGTTATAATTGTCCACAAGCTGTGGATAGAGCAAACAACTCCAAAAACACTTCTCATTTACGTATAAAACCGCCTGCTGACGTTTTACAAATAAAAGTAGAAAAGTCACAAGCATCGAAAAATTCCAGACCTAATTTGTGCAGTTCTCGAAGCATTCAAAATTTCTCGAGAAATAAACGAGATTCTTTGCTAACACGCGACATGACTCAACCTCAGTTAACTAAAGGACACTGTAATGAATTAATACCTCAACATTGCGCTGAAGAAGCTGAATATTACCATCCGACTTGTTTCAATCAAAATTTCTACTACTCAGTACCTTCTAGTTTAAGTCAGCACTGTTCAGACTACTGCCAGCACTGTTCAGATGTTTATGAAAATATGGTATGAAACAAATGTTTTCTGAAATAACTTTTAAAGCTAACGTCCTTTTTAAGGCAAGAACATTTTATCAAATAGAATGACATCAACCTAGACTATTTATGATTGACTTTAACCAGTACTCATGGTCAGTTTGTCATGTATTTCTTTTGGTCATTTCCGCATGCGCGAGATGATCTCATACAACTGTATCGGATCACTGTAGTCCAGCATCACACAAATTTCAAGAATATTGCAGTTTTGTGAAAATTTCAAAATGTTTAATATCCTAAAGGACTGGAATATTTCATTTTGAAGTTTTTCAGAGAAATGATTTATACTGTACTGGTATGTGTAAAATTAATGACAAATCAGGAAAAATTGGTAAAACTCATAGAAATGGACCGGCAAAAGATGAAGAAGATGAAGCTACTCAAATATCTCACAGTGTTTGTTTCATTGCGAAGAAAATTTTTCCTTTTTTTGAATTATTTATTGCTAGTTAATCGGATAAACTGTTTCCAACTTTCTAATACAATCATTCAAATAAGACTAAGAAAATGAAAAAATAGACAAGGATTGAAGTAGGATCTCTTCTTTTCATACCTAATAAGGTCATCTGATGGTCAAATTAACATTGATAATTTAATTTAAGAGTTGTCAGAAGACAGCTCGTTGTTCAAAATCTATCCATCAGCGACTACGACCGGAAAGAAATTTTTCTAAATCAAACGTTAGTGTGCTTGTGCTTTGAGATTTGATTTATTCAGTTGAATTTACTCGTATTCTCGTAACATGCCGGATTACAAAACTCATTCTTTCTCTTTGAGGTTGTTGACCTATCAGTGAAGCCAGACATAGATGCCAATATTGCAAAAGCAGATTATTCCTAAAGAATTATCAGATTAAGTATGAATAAATTTTAGATCGCTTGATTTCAAATCAGTAGTATTTAGAAACTTGATTGACTGTCCTGGGATCTGTAAAGATTTTTAGAAACCGATGTATATATCTGAAATCTGTATATTTACTTAATGCTTTCGCTGTTCTAAAATTTTATTAGAAATATTTCGGTGACATTACTTTCATTCGCATAACATTCTTATAACAAACATTTATAATTTCAATTAAATTTACAAATAAAAAAATTTTCATTTACATGAAAATGTTGAAGTAAATTGAGAAATCTATTGGCATTGGCTATTAAAACTGAGATATCCATCTTTCCTCATTGATTTCATTTGATCACTTGTTTAACTCTATCAACTTAAGGCATACACATATCCAAAGTGCATTTGCAAAGGAATTTGTGAGCAATGGAACCAAAAGCGCCACCGCATAAAGCCGTCCACTGTTAATGGTACCACTTGTCTTCATATTGTTACATTAACAAAGTGAACCTTAATAATGCATATTTCAGATTAAATTCTGATTTGTGAATGCTATATTTCCATTAAAGCTTTTCTTAAGTTCTAGAAAGAAAACACCACGCTTCCAGCAAAATGCTATCAGCGCCAAATCATCACCATAAATCAGGACGCAGACATACAGTTCATATAATTGCTGGACCAAAACAATACGATAGGTCAAAACGTTATGTTTTGAAATGCCGCAGCTGTGAACGACATATTTTTCATAAATACTGCAATGGTGTCTTTCTTTTTAATTACATTAATTCTCTTCCGTATTCGTGTTGGGAAATTATCCTGACATGGACATCGAAATGTTTACTTACATGCTTTGCATTACTCTAATTTTCATTCCGCTTCACAAATCTTCCGTTGTGCTTACACATGACACACAGAACAGCATTTAGCACTACGAGAAAACAGTTGGTATAAGTTAAATTAGTAAGTATAAAAACGCAGTAAGCATAAAAAAATAAGCAAGCGATCTTTACTGAAGTTTGTTTTTGGAGTTTTCATTCGTATCTTACTTTTTTGAATTTCCATTGAAAGGCACAGAATTTATAAATCGGCTTATGGGGCCGTTTTAAATAGATAGTAAAATTTTCAGGTAGGAATAGCGATGTCCGTCATTATTCGATTTATCATCCTTACAACAATAGCAGAAATCATTCAAGCTACCTTCGCCATATCTATTACTATAAACATCACTAATTCCCTGAGAAATTGGACCAGTGGATTTCCCTCTTGAAAATATCGTTGCCACTGATATCACTGATAATCGTCATTTCTAGCAGATAAAACTAATAGTTTCCTGAATATTGACTTTTTGACAATAAATCTGCTGCTCTAATGATTATACATCTAAATGTCAGATGACGATCGATCTATCGGCAAAGGTCATATCTACAAGTAACAAATTTACATAAAATATTAGTGTGGCGTCATCTAGCTGATCGATAAATAGTGGGAACACTGGCACTTTTGTCTTTTGCAGTCTTATGATTTCTCCAAAACTTAAACATTTAAGCAGTTTTGCCTTTGATTGCTACAGGAAAATGTTATTGGTCGATTACAGTAATTACACCTACCTGACTTTTTCTTCGGTTACTTTCTCCTTAATTACCTTAAGTCACATGTGACAACATATTGTGGAGTAACTTCTACTCATCTGTCGATCAACCAATCAAGAAAGAGTTTCGAGGAGCTGTTCCACATATCTTTTCCAGATTGGCGGACTTATACTTGTGTCCTGAGGAGATTCTGTACCTTTAAACTGTGAAGGCATTCTCTCATTTCCTATTTGTCGTTTACATCTTCGGTGGGTTTGTGGTTATCTGCTTCGCCTTCTTCTCACTTCTCACAAGTACTATTTCATTGTTAGTATCGATGCATCTTGTTGATTATTGATCTTCAATGGACGATTCAGATTTTGTAGAGAAATCGCTTAAGCCAACCAGGTAACTATTATGAATATGGAAAAGAACAGATGGGCCTTATTAGTGACATCACTCTTTTTCTTTGAACTTTCGTCCTTAAAGTTTTTTAATATATGCATAAATGTACTAACTAAACATTGTAGCTTGTTGTAAATTTCGTCCTTTTAGTTTGATATTCGTCATAAAGCATTGGAAATATTGTGTCGGGAACAGGTAATATTCTCGAGAGTTGTAAAGGATTGTGGATAATGAGCTATGATTAGAGGAATACCATTACCACAAGACAGTTTTCAGAGAACTAAAAGATAAGTCAAAAAGCGAAATTATTTCAAATTCAATAATTAGAAGTGATTATCTGCTACCGGGCGGTGATAAAGACAAGTGCTTCGTGTGCAATAAGGCAAGTTGCATATCTCATATGACAAAAGTGTTTTCTTGGATTAACTGGTTGATTTTTGCCTTCCGTTGTTATGCATTCCATTGAATACATTTGTTTCCTCATTAATTGGTTCTGTTTACTATCGGTATACTCTCCGCCAGCTATCATCAAATTGAACAGCCTTTACTCCCATTTCTTTGAAAAACTATGGACAAGGCAGAATACGTTTAACGCTTTATTTTAAGATATTTAAAGGAATTAAAAAATTTGGATGAATTGCGCAAATCGTTACATATCAATCATTGCTTGGATCAGCAAGAAGCATGCAACAAATATGAAATAGAAAAGGAAGAGTGGAAGAAAGTAGTGGATTGTCCTATATGCGGTGAACCTTTACAGCCAGGACCAGTAAGTTTTTTGGGAGTAAAATATTCATAAACTGCTAATGCTGAAAATTTCGTTATAATTAACTGCAAGTCTTGGCTGTTTACTAAATTCTTTGCTTTTATTTATATACTTTTACTTGAATTTGTTGCTTTTATTTGCGTTCCCAGTATCATTAATGAAAAATGATAATTTTTAAGTTGCTGAAATTGACCTCCCACTAAAGTGGAATACTAGGACATTGTAAATTCATTTTACTTCTTTTGGAGAGAATTGAATTTACAATGTTCTTGTATTTCACCTTTCAAAAGAAGAAGGCGAATCTCAGTCACTTATAAATTATAAATACAAGTATAAATTTTGAAACAAGTTTTTTAGTTTCGTGCATCACACGCTAAACGTTGTGGTAAAAAGCATCACGTGAATCCTAACAGTCTATTGTTACTGCTAGATACACAGAATAAAGTTGCGGAAGCGAAAAAACAAAATGGTATTCCACACACAAAGTACGAGTTTCTTTGTTTTTTTAAAACTCATAAAATAAGTCAGATGTAAAAAGTTAAAAATTGTCAGAACTGGAGCAGTAAATTAGCTTATAACTTTAAGGAATGGATGCAAGCTTCCTTTAAAAGTCATATTTTCCTTTGTTTTTTAATGTTTTAGGCTGAAGAAGCCGAAACTAGAAATAAAAAAGCGTCCTACTCGATTAAGTGAGGAACCACACTCAGTATTTGACGAGCAGATGAAACTGGTGACAGCACTTTCTAAAAGCATGTGCTCGAGTGGAAGGTCCACTTTTCCGACGGATGTTTATTGTTTTAGGAGTATTTCTTTCTAACTTTGCTGTTAAGCCTTTTAATTTTGATCTAATTTGTTTAAAAAAATTTATGTCGTTTTTATTTTTCTCTTTTCTGTTTTTTCTATTTTATCTAGTGTAATCAATAAAAAGTAGTGCTTTTTCGTTTTCTCTTGTGTTCGAAATAGCTTTGTTGTTATAAAAAACTATTGCAGCGAACTATATACTAAAACGCATGTGATACCACAGGATCTATCTAAAATGAAGTCCGAAAAGCAACGACCTCGATCATTTTCGTTTGTGGAGCTTGAACCACGTGTATGCAAGTGTGAAGTGATTGAAAGAATACAGGTTCTTTAATTTTATGCATTTGGAAGCAAATTTTATGCAGCTTCTTTTGTAAACTTTTAAGGCATCATTTGGTTTTTCTTCAGTGTGGTGTCAAAAAATACGGAAAAAGTTTTGTTTCTGTCTTAAAGCTTTCCTGTAGTCTGCTCTAGGAAACATTTCATAGTGATATGTTTCTCGTTTCTTTGGTATAGGATACGTCTCATGATCGATTAATTGTAAAATTTGTTTCGACAATTTAGCCTCGCTGTGTTATTTAACTCGTTAAAATTTCAGGAGAATTTTCTTAGAATTTTCCAAACTCGAGATGAAGATATACGCATAATGTTGAAAAAAAATATTCAAAATACGGAAAAAGTTTTGAAAAATGCAGGGGTATGCGTGCGTAAGGTTAGTAATCATTTGATAAATGCACTATGTGACAACTAACTGAATGACTTGCATCATTTCGTTTAGTTAATTGTTGTTCTGTCCAAATTTGAGATGAGAATGCTTATCTGAATTTCTTGATCTTGATGTAAGTTATGTTTCAGCGGTAAGATCTAAATTTTTTCTTGCAGTTTAATAGCCTGAAACAACTGGCAGATGATTTAGCTACCTTTAATGAAAGCAACAGTGATGTCATTATTCTTTCACGTGAAAACGAAACTTTTTTGGCTTGCCGATTTATTATAGCTGCTCGAGCACCAACACTTTTACAGGTCCCTATAGTTTGTTGAAGTTGCTGTAATCTTTATTTTTTCTGAAACAAATTTTTTTATACGAAGATTAGTTGTTAGTGTTTATTCGAAAACATATTTTATAGTTTAGAAATGATAATAATGATTAGCACTACCAAAATTCGTATTGTTTTCAAGTTGTTTGAGTTTGCTAGTCAGACGACAGTCATAGTGAATGTGAAAGCGAAGATTGGAATTCATATGCTTTGATTAAGTTTCCATACATTTTTATAAGTTCACTAAAAATTTTCCAGCACTTGAATTCGGATGGTTCTTTGAAGTTGAAAGAATATTCAGGAGCAGCAATTAGGTAACGATATTTTTATATGCCTTCGGTAATTTAGCTTCTGGTTCGATATGTTGTACATTTCTAACATATTATCACAGTTTTGTATTTTGTGCTAGTTAATGTTTCTAAAGTTTATTAAAAGGAATTATTCCTCACGTTTTTCAGAATGTTAACTTTTTGACTTTCAGGTCGTATATGACTTTTTTAACTTCGGCTTCAGTAATTTGGACTGAAAATGAGCGCGAAGAAGTATATTCTATGGCTGTAAAATATGGACCGAAGGGTTTAGCAGCACTTTGTAGATCTGCAAAATTGAGAGCAAGCTCCAATGAAGAAACTGTGAATATGAATTGTGATAACTTGGAAGAAGCTTCAAACAAGGAAAAAAATGACGAAATCAAGGGAAGACAGGATTATTCAGATGCAAAACGTAAAATCTATGATGGCGGGATGGAAGAAGCGAAGGATGCAGATTTGGTTGATCCATCAATTATCTTTGTTGAAGAAGTTGAGCGGGGCTCAGAAAATTTGGTTAAACCATCATCATCAGAATTCCTAAATAGCAACGGTAATAAATTCATTATTGGAAGTTCTGACTTACTTGGTTACTCGGTATTTGATTGTAAGAAGTCATCGATGAACGAGAAATCTGGATTTTCAGAGAAGGGAATTGTTGAATCTTCTAAACCAAATAATTCTTTATTGGGAAATACAGTTGACAGTGATGCTCTTCTTCCTTCCTCTTCTCTTACTCCTTATGCTTCAATGAATCTAGATGCCATGAGTCATTTGAATGATTCCATCGAAAGCTTGTTAAAGAAATCACCAATCGAACCACCGTCAATACTCGATGAAGAATTTCCATCTTCAGTTACTTGTTCGGGGCAGATAGTAATCGACAATTTGTCAGATAATTTATCATCGGAAAAGCTCCTTATCTTACCTTATTCTGCTCCTAAATCTGAAAAAACGCAGAAATCTTTGATAAAAACGGAAAGTAAGCCAGAGTTTTCATTTATTCCAAAAAAGTCCTCTCCCTTATCGTCATCATTATCACTACTCGATCGATCTTCCGTTTCTCAGAAAAATGTTTCTTCATCACCCGAAAAGAAAAGAATACGAGTAGAAAAAACTCCAGTACCAAAAGCTTCAATAAGTCGTCTCATACGGCGCTTAAAAGAGCAAGATTCGGACGTAAAGATTCTGAAAACAGAAAATATTACTCCAATACCAGTCTATGATTCGATGGATGATAAGGAGTTAAAGGTTTTTTTCGTCCTAATTTTTGAGCTCATATCATCTGATAATGGAAGAAATATAGAAGCTAGATTGCTTTTTTTGTCGTAAACTTTCTATGCAGATCATTGTTTGCTATATTCTTTCCAAAAAGACGCAAATATGTATTTTTTAAAGAATGCGACCGTATTCATTTTTCTTTGTTTGTAGTGTAAAGAATTTGATTTGAAACTTTCATGAGTTATAGGCCAAATTAATCTAAGGTTTAAGTTTTATTCAAAAATACCTTCATCTTTATATTTTGCAGGCAGAATTGGCAAAATATGGCATAAGGCCAATGGGTAAAAAACGAGCTGTTGCGCTCCTTAAGAAAATTTATGAAGAAACACATCCAGGTCTTCCCACTTTCATTTACTGATGACTTTTAATTTATTAATAAAAGATGTCATATTGTAAGTTCGAGGAGATCTATAGTGTTCGTAAATTCCAATTTTTCTAGTTCTCATTCCAGGACTCCAGTCAGAGAATGAAAGTTTGTTGCGCTACTTGCTCTATTTATTTGATAATATTTGCAGTGTTAGAGAGCACACCATTGTCAAGGAAAAGCAAAATATTATTAAATAGCGATAAAGTAGAATCTTCTAGTGATGAAGATTGCGATGTAGACAAGACACTGAACACAAGTCTGGATGAATGTGACATCATGGAGGAATCTTGTATGAATGATGAACAGTCTGCAGTTCTCCCCAAAGTAAGGATTAGTGCTTTTATGTTTCTAGATATTATATATTAAATAGTTTATCCTAGATATTTTATATTAAAAATAGGTGGCAACAAAGTAAAAAGAATTAAATGAAATAATGGTTATATAAGCTTGAATTTTCTTCTTTGCGTAGCCAGTTAATTTCTGTGAACAAAGGTTTTAGATAAAGAGAACAATTAAATTAAAGTTTATTTAATTAATTTTCTTGCAGGATTTGGAAGGTATGCAGAGCGTTCTGCTTAACTGGCTACGCAAAGAAGAAAATTCAAGCTTATATAACCATTTACTTAGCCTAAACGTGATTTCTTTTGTAAGTTCATCTAATTGTACCCTTCAATCGAATGATTATTTTTGAATTTCCTTTTTTTTTTTTTTTTTTTTTTTAGTTTAATAGATTTCATGAAAGACCATACTTCATCAATTATCCAGTGAAGGCATGTTTTGTTGTGAATAATATAAATGAAATGATGACTTTTTTGAATAATATAGATGAAATGATTATTTGCAGGAAGAATTTGCGAACCGTTTATCTCATGCTGATTCGACTGTGTCACAGATTCCGAAGAAGGCACTTTTAGAAATACTAGATCGTTTGCATGTTACTTTTCGGTTACCAATGGATGGATGGGATCGGAAAAGGAGGCCGGTTAAACAATAATTTTCACTGTTTATCGAAAAAATAGAAGTGATTTTAAAATAGAACTATAGTCGATTAGTAGTCAAAAGAAAGGCTGGGTTTTATTGTTTATTATTTTGGAAATAGAACTTTTTTTTTCAAAATTTTACTTCATGATTTCCTTAGGTCGTTTTGACCAATGAATTGAAAAAAGATTGTATTCTCTTTTTTGTACTTCCAAACTTACCATATTCCATTTTCTCGATGTATTTAATGTCCAGTCAAATTGTGATATGTTTCTTATGCAAAGTTTTCTTTTCTTTATTTTAGTTCGAAGAAAAAATCTGTTACGCTCTTTTGATGTTTGTTGGTTAGCCCTTGACCTTTGATTATTATTCTTGTTTCTTTGCATATTCATTTCATACCAGTGTTGTAAAGCCTTGTTAGATTAGATTTCTGCACGATTGCTAAAATAATCCAAAATCCTAGTTGTTGCACAACTTGAAGTTTGTAAGTCAATTTGCGAAGTGAACCAAAAAGAAAAAAGAAACAATTTGTTCTCAATTTATAATTGTTATTGTTTCTGCGGATGATTTTACGACTCGCCAAGCTCATTATGTTAAACTTTTAAATATGAATTTCAAGAAATTGTAAACGGACATACTGGAAAATAATCTGTGCTCAAGACGTAAATATCACCGTTTTTTAGTTATGATTTAAGGTAAGAGAAAAGTAAGATATGGGATTATTTCCAGATATCATAGTTTGTGTTTTATGTCCTGAGTAACATATAGATGTAAGACCTGTGATCTACAAGCGGAAATATATCAAAAAGCTGGGGATGGCTGAATCTTGGGTCATTCTTGAACAGTTAGAAATTTGCCGACTGTATGTTTGTCACATTTGATCAATAAATGGACAAATGTGATGTGATCAGTAGAATTGCTGTGATACTTGAAGCTTGGTGTACGTTGTAGCTATGCTATAAGTTTATCAACTAATGGACGGCAGAAGATGAATAGTCTTTCGGCTTAATATCATTAAATAAAAAGCTGCTTATCTACTGAATAATAACTCGTCTTTATGAATGCATGAACGCAAAGTACGGAAGACCTCTAAACCTACAGAAATATGTGTAACTGTCAGAATAACGCTTTTATTAATCCTGGTTATTTTACAGAAGTTGATTCGACTGAAATCCATGAATGTAACATCGTGATTTTACTTGTTGTTCATGCCATAACCAACTTTTAGAAATAAATTTGAGAACGGAGGAAAGCAGTACTTTCAAGCGAAGTTTACACTTTATTTTGCACCATCAAGAATTCTGCACTATGTAGTGCGCACACATATATATATATATCTGTATGTGTGTGTGTGTGTGTGTGTATGTGTGTGTGTGTGTGTGTGTTTGTATAGATCAATTAGCGTGTCATTTGTTGAGTCTGTGTGTATGCTAACATAAAGCAATGCATTTGCTTAAAACTCGAAAGATTGAGTATCGAGAAGTTTCAGCTTATCTTATCCCAAGACACCTCCTGAGACAGACTCATTCTGCAGTAATACTGGCAAGCTAATCGAAATTCATTGAAATTCAGTAGCTAACTGGTTAGAGTTACACCGATACATCTTCTGTTCCTACTCCTTACTCCAGCTCTCCTCTTCCTCGACTTTTCACTTTTTGCTCTTAGATCCTTCATCATCTGTTTCTGGACTCATCATCATTCGGTCAGTTCACTTCCAATTATTTTTTCAACGTTTCAGTGCAAAATTTCCAAATACTTCAATCTAAATTTTATCAATTTGGTAGCACGGTTAGAAGCACCTTTTTTTAAATTTCAAGAGATAATGTCTGCTAAAAATATATCTTCAATAACTTTTGTGTTTTCCATCATCAGGCGCAGTTATTAACTTCCAGTTGCTTTTGTTTATATTCAGAGAGATTGAACATACTTTTTTCAATTTTCTATCTATTAATAATACTTTCTTTTCAATTCCATACTCTCAATTCTATGTTGAATACATTCCCACGCATTATCTATTAGCATGCTAAAATGTTGCCAAACTTTTCTCAGCGTTATATTACAAGCACTGCATAGTAATAAGTTGGTTTTTGCTGATTCAAACCTAAACTTTATACAGAATTTCTTACTGTATAGAATCCACTAAATTAATTGCGACATCAAATTATGTTATTCATTTTTGAATTTTTTTAATTGAGAACAATTCATAATTTTGTACTACAAACCTCTTTAATTTATTCCATCTTTTCATTTCCTTCAATGTATTACTGCGCAACAGGTGAATATACTGAAATTGCATCTAACAGCAAATCTAAAGTTATAATTTCCTCTCATAATGTTTTATATTTTAATTGGGAGTATTGGACACGAATAAATTTTGTTTGGAAAAAATTAGGTAAAGAGGGTACAATCAATAAATGCGGTAATATGAAAATAGAAGGTATGTTATCTTCTCAGTGATGAAATAAATCTGCCAGTTCATCTTTTTCTTATACTTAAATATTACATATCTATTGAAGTTTGCGAGAATTTTTGGAAGTTTCTAAAATTCTTAACCTAAAATTAAATGAAAAGTGTGCATTTCTCTTTTGAAGTTCGATTTGTAACTTTTCTTCAAGACATTTAATCATTTTCAAATATGAATTTATCTATGCAAAAGACTTTCAAAAGGCAACACTGCTTCCTATTGTAACAAAGCTTTTATTATCCAAAAAGAGTGAAAATTGATTTTGCTCTTTTCTTAAATGTTACCGACAAGTTTGTCCTGCAAATTTCTTTAAAAATTTCTTTCTTCGTTCTGATTTAATTTCGGGTACCACATATTACATCAAAATATTTTTGATAGTTTTTATTGTGATATTTCCTGTAATTACATCTTGTTTTTCAGATTTAGTTTAATGTGAATTAATAAAGAGGGACGAAAATGACAGATAAAGAAGGAACAGGTGATGGAGAACAGGATGACATCTCGTTTTTGCGGACGGTATTATTTCTGGGTACTTGTTGAAAAGTGAATGAAATTTTAATAGTTTACAGTTTTTCTATTAATTAATATTTCTTCGTTAATGAATTGTTAATAAGAAATCTGCGTCTAAGTGAATTTACAGGGTGATATCGTTGCAATGACATGTATGGCATCAGCTAGTCGTGAAGGTGTTCTCGGTTCCGAAAGAGTTTGTCTCTGCACCGAAGGCTTCGGCAATCGGATGTGTTCATTGCAAAACGTTTCGGATAGGGTACTTTTTTTATGAGAGACCTTTAGAATTGAAAATATAACTTTTGAAATGTTATTTTAATAAACAAAAATTTTCCAATAAAATATTTCATGTGTTTTTAAATCGATAATTTAGGATCTTCCAGCAGATATATCTATGTGCATGCTGTATATCGATAATGCGTTATCGGTACGAGCGCTCCAGGAAATGATGAGTAATGATAAAGAACTGGTAAACTGTTGCTTATATCAGATTTTGTTTTTTATTTTTTAATTCCCATGTTTAATCACTATTTAGTCAATATGTAAATTTAAGGTAACTTGTCTAGTAATAAACATAAAAGCTTTTGTTTTGAATGAAATTTTCAATGGTACTGAGATTGTATCTGAGAAAAATTTTGTCCTATGTTTCTTTTCTTATCGATGAATTAAAATCTATTTCAGAGAGGAGCAGGTAGTGCTGGAGGTCACAAAACTTTGTTATATGGCCATGCAGTACAACTCAAACATGTACAAAGTGAAATGGTTGGTTTAATATATAAAATTCATTGCTAATTAATTATCAGTCCATCGTAAAGTCTTTCCTTTTTGAAATAATTTGAACTTGATTTGACATTAATTATGATTCATAGATAATAGTAGATGGAACCCCCATCACTAAAAAACAATATTAATTTCTAATTAGACTAAATAAACTTTAGCTACGTCTTAAAACTTCCAGAATTTCCATGCAACAAGCTAACTGTAGTATCAATTCTTTTAAAGTATGTATTGAAGGGCAGGAAGTAATTAAAATGTTTACTGTAGATATCTCATTCGGTCTATTGTTTTACAATATATCCAATATGTCATATCCTTATTTACAATAAATGCAAAATCGCGTTTTACATTTTGGTATTTATATTTGATAATGTTTTCTTTACTTGTAGATAAATCGCTAATGTTTTCCAATACCACCTGAAAGCTCAGAATTTGTTTTCTTTATAATTAATTTATTGCAATTGACTTTAAAAATAACTTTGCATCAAAAATATTTATCTTCCTATTAGAATTAAAATGGTTTGGCGGTAAGTTATTCTCTGACCTAATTTTATCTGAAACATACTTATGCTAATTGGGACTAATCTAAATTATCCGAATTCCAAAAACTACAAAATCAGATTCCATAAGCAATATTATTTGTAGTGTCGTACAACAAATTTGATATAATAATTGGTCACATTATTAGAAATTACATTAAATGGATTAGTCAACAACTTTTCCTATGCATAATCATTTCAATTTTTGAAAAGAAAGATTAGTAATGATTAAAATGATATGTTCTAAAAATTTTCCAATTGCGGTTACAGTATCTGGCTTGCCTGTCATCATGCTCATCGAACGACAAGTTAGCGTTTGACGTTGGCGTGCAAGAAAATAATGAAGGTAAGAAATAGAAGGCATAGAATTATTGGTAAGACAACCTTTCAGGAAACAGCCTGTCTTTCAAATAATACCAAGGAAAATATGATTTAGTATTGCTTAGGTGAAGCGTGCTGGTGGACGATTCATCCTGCTTCTAAACAACGATCAGAAGGGGAAAAAGTTCGTGTGGGTGATGATGTTATTTTAGTTTCTGTTGCGACCGAACGATATCTGGTTTGTTTGTTGAATTTATATGAAGGAAGTACTACATCAAATTATGTGACAAATTTTTGGAAATGACGAATAAGCCGAACAGTTGCAGAGATTGAAACCGATTAAAAGGAAACATTAAGATGAAATTCGATGAGATAGTTTTAGAATAAAAACCGAGAGAATAATAGCCATTATTACTTTGGGAATTTCATGTAAAGATACGTTTGGTTTCTTTATAAAGTTTGAGTGCTTCCTCAATTCCCTTAACTGGGTAATACAACACTGTCAATTTGTAAAACTTTCTTCGAATCTCTAAGACAGTTTCGCTCCTATAAGTTTCTAAATAGTAATTAATTGTGGCATAAGTTTCTTAATAGTAATTGAGTGTATGCAAGTTAAAAAAGAAATGATACTACCCCGAATGAAACTCTTTGGAAACGATAATATACTATGTCACCTGATATATTTGTAAATTATTTGGACATTCGCGAGACTTGTTTTGAGTTTCACGACATCTCTGTTGAGCAGAAATATTTGAAATACATGCCTAAAACACTGGCAACTCAATAAAATCTTCTTAGATGTTTGATCCAAAGGGATCGCATTACTGATTTGCAGCACATGACACATAGCAAAGGATTCATGGTTATTGCATCATTTCATCAAACACTTTGGAATATCACTTCTGTGAGTTCAGGAAGCGTACGAATACGAAATATGGGTTTGTTTCCATTCAGTTCTCTAAAGCTTCTTATAAATTTCCAATGAACTTTTTAGGAATAAATTTCCATTTAAAGAAGACAAAAATTTTTTTAATTTAACTTGTTATTTCAGGAGCACTCTTTGGGAATGATGTCTTACGATTTTTTCATGGCAACGATGAAGTTTTGACGATACCTGAAAATTGGAGCGAGCATCCGCAGCAAAAGTAAATGTTTAAATCTCACTAATACCACTAATAATTTTGCAACATTCAGTAAAATTAGTTAATATTGCACTACGTTTCACTTCAGTATGGCAATTTACGAGGGTGGAGCTGCGGTATCACAAGCCAGATCACTTTGGCGCATCGAATTAATCCGAATTAAATGGCATGGAGCACTGGTTGGTTGGGAACAACCGTTCCGGATAAGACATATTACTTCCGGAAGATATGATTTTCAACTTTTAAAGAAAATAGCATTGAGTTAGATAAAATGCCGCATAGTATGATCTAATTTCATCTGTATTCCATTCTTAATTTCAAATGTAGAAGCGTATTACAGCAAGAGGGAGCACCATATCCTTTTTAGGTATTTGGGTGTTATGGAAAATGTAATTCAACTGTACGACAAGGATAAAGCAGAATTCGATACAACTGCTTTCGTCATGTATCAAACTAAAGTAAAGCATTAATGTTATCACTAATAAATATTTGTGGCAAGAGATGTTTGAATTATCTAGTCAAGTTTAGACAAGATCTAACAGCTTGTAATTGGAAAGCATTTAGGATTTAAAGAAACAGCTGTTGGAAGAAAAAGAAGAAGGAATGGGTATTGCAACAATTCGATACGGTGAAACAAATGCTTTTATTCAGCACATCAAAACGGAGTTATGGCTTTCTTATCAGGTATCTTCAAATGATAAAATGGCATTCTTCAGCTGAAACTTTTTCTAGAAAATCTAGCAAGATTGTTTAACTTTGAAATCGAGGTAATATAAAAAGACTGAAAAAACCATATACCATATACTAGTAAAACACTAGTTTAACACTAGTAAAAACGTGTCTTCGAGAAATTTTGTTTGAAATTTCTTAATAAATTCTTTGAAATGTAGAAGCGTATACTATTTTTATTGTCATTCAATTTTACCTTATTTAGACATCGGAAACAACGAAAAAGGGTCTTGGAAAAGTAGAAGAAAAGAAAGCCGTAGCACTAAAAGACGGTCACATGGACGATTGCTTCACATTTTTCATGGCACTTGAAGAAGAATCAAAATCGGCTCGTGTCATACGAAAATGTTCATCGGTACTCAATCGATTCTTGAGGTACTTTGGTTATGACGGTTTTTTTTTTTTTGTGATAACTGCTAATATTACATACAACTTTAAACAATGTCATGTCTTAGGGGTATCGAAGCATTGCAACGAGAAGGAAAACAAGCACAGGATTGGAATCGTGTCGATTTAAGCGAAGTGCTGAAGCTCATGGAGGATCTGATCGATTATTTTGCACAGCCAGATGAAGATGGTTAATCTTTAATGAATTTGCAGTATTCATGTCGACTTTCATTATTGACACATTGACAATTTAGAATTCATTTCAGATTTTGAAGCTAGTCAAAATCGTTTACGTGCTTTAAGGAGTCGTCAAGATCTCTTTCAAGAAGAAGGTGTTTTGAATATGATTCTAGATACTATTGATAAATTTTCACAAATGGAAGCAGTGCGTGATTTTGCTGGACTTCTTAATGAGGATACACAGGTCGAGATAATATTATTTTTTAATTCCAATGCAATGACAAAAATTTAGATGAAAATGTTGACTTTTAGTTGTTTCAGCAGGGATATTTATAAAAATATAAAGCTGTTGATAGGATGAACTAAGCTAAGCGGTCAGGTTATTCATCAGTTGATTGTCAAATAATAAGAGTTGATTTGCACTTTTGATATTTAGTTTCGAGATAGAGTTAAATGTTCAATTCAATTTAGATGATGTGGGAAGAAATCTCTACTTACTTGTACCTCCTTGTTGCTGCAATGATCAAGGGGAATCATTACAACTGCGCACAATTTGCATCAGCTCAGCGGCTACAATGGTTATTTGGACGACTATCAAATCCACAATCAGCAGAAGGTTCAAAGCAATAGAAAATAAAAAGTTTGAAGCAGAAGCTCAAATTAAGCTTTTAAAAAACAATAGCCTTCAGGTATACTAGATGTACTATACTGCGTGCTGACTGAATCACCAGAAGCGCTGAATATGATTAATGAAAGTCATATCAAATCGGTGATATCACTTTTGGAGAAAGTCGGAAGGGATCCTAAGGTCATGCTTTCTTTATTACTTAGAAAAAACTTAAGATATTATAATAATAGATTTTTTGCAGATTTTCTTGTTTCTTCAATTGAAGGGAACATTGAATATGTTTGCATATCAATGACTAATAAATAATGTGAATATTTTAGGTACTTGATGTCTTATCATCACTCTGCGAAGGCAATGGGATGGCAGTACGAAGCAGTCAGAATACAATTACTCAATATTTATTGCCTGGAAAAGATCTGTTATTGCAAACGAAAATGAGGGATCATGTAAGCAGGTACGGTGATTCATTCATACAAAATTTCCACCATTTCCCGAAAGTTGGTTATTTTTAAATACATATCTATTGCCCACAACTCTTTAACGGAAGTGATAAAGTTTGATGCAATCATTTTTGCAGTTTAGCTTACGTAAAAATTATAGTATAATAACTGGAATTAAAAGCATCAATACAAAGTCCCACGTTTTTGAATAGCGGAATCTCTCTAAAGAACTGAAGGGACTCTAGACATTTAACATTCAAGTTTCGATGAATTATTATAATTCATGGAATAGAATATTGATAGTGTCAATAAAACTTCCAATATCTTCTGCAAAAAGAGATGTATATAGGAATGAATCAGCCCATAAGCATTCATTTAAATACTATTTTTTTTTTATACCAGAATGAATTTGCAGAAGATAAGGTAAGTAATCTATTTTTTTACCTCTATTTTACCTCTTTTCGAGTAATTAAGTATTAACATTTTATTTTCATCATTTTCTACATTTATTGGAAAGAAGGCGTAATTTTAGTTAATGAGACTAATTATTTATTTGCAGTATGACACCTAATATCCTAGTTGGTGTTGTTGAGGGAAGCTCACAATTTCGACGATGGTATTATGAAGCTGAAGTTGAACATATTGAGCGGATGACGAAGACAGAACCATACCTTCGGATTGGATGGGCAAATAGCATGGGCTATAAGCCGTTTCCTGGCTCTGGTGATGGGTAAGTTATTATTATTGATAAATAAGTAAGCTAGTCCCTGAAAATATCTTTTGGTTACTATCATTCTTTCAAACTTCTTTCAATCGATTTCAGAAAACTAATATTTATGTTATTTCAAAACTTATTCAGTACCTGTCAGTCTGTATTATATTTGAAAGATTTCAATATTTAAATAACATAGAAGCATACAATTCTCGCTAATTTTCGTTTAGATGGGGCTGTATTGGTGTTGGTGATGATTATTATTCATATGGATTCGATGGTCGTTGTATTTATTGCGGTAGATCTTTTTTTTTTCTTCAAATTCAAATCGTCAAAGTATGAAATTTTTTTTTGGTTGTTGGAGTATACTAGCTATAAATTTAGTTATATTTAACAAGAAAATTTAATTATATTTAGCAACTAAAAAACACGTTATTTGGACTCGAACACTGCAAAAAGGAGATGTTGTTGGTTGTTTGCTTGATCTGAATATACCAGAAATAAGCTTCACAGTCAATGGACAATCAACTGCTGGGCTGTTTAAAAATTTCAATATTGATGGATTTTTCTTTCCCGTTATGTCCCTTTCTGCCAAAGTCAGGTATTCAACTTTGCAAACATATTTCATATTCAATGAAAGGAAGAACTGAATCAATAGTTATTTCATAAACTCATTTAAAATCATTATTTGCTTTAAGAAAGTTATGTAGGACTTTTGCAATGATTTAATCGTGTAATTGTGAGAAGATGTCTTGTTCATTACTTCGGAAATACAAGAAGTCACATTTCAGTTGTCGCTTTATGTTCGGTGGTATAGAAGGACGTTTGCGCTTTGGACCGCCCCCGGGCTTCAGTGCTCTAATTGAGGCAGCAGCAAATAAGTTGGAAATTGGAGAATGCGTTTCTTTCGGTGATATTGCGAAGAATGTGTATACAGGTCCTAGCATCTTACGTCAAAACACGGAACCATTTGTACCAAAATTGGTCGACATCTCGGCCGTTGTATTACCTCACTTTGCAATGGAAATACACGAAAAAATGGCGGAAAATTTGCATGAATTATGGGCAATGCGAAAAATTGAACTTGGCTGGAGTTATGGAGAGGTATGTCAGTTTTTTACACATTCCAAAAACAGCGTATATACGTAAGTCTACTGCGCCATTTTTCATAAGACGAAAAAAGGACTGTGAGTTTCCGGAACTGTAGTATCTTGATTTTTTAAGAAAATTTCGGAAATTTTAAAAGATGTGAAGACAGTCGATTAATATTAGAATTTATTATGAATAAGTAAAATTAAGTTTTGATTTTGTGGCTCTTTCAGTGCTATTTTCCTAAAAGTTTCATTACAGGTAAGGGATGAGAAAACTCGGCGTCATCCATGCCTGACATCGTTCCAACAACTACCACCGAACGAGAAAGCTTATAACATCAATCTTGCTATTGACACTATGAAGTAATACCATTTCCTTTTATCTCACTATGAATATGAGTCTAAGATTTAGAAGCTTATAAGTGTTAGAGAAAAATTAAGACAGATAAAATTATAAGTTATTGCTGAAAGGGGATGCCATCATCAAAACTGACAGAATAGAACCACTCATGTTACTAATGTTCTAACACTGGTCGATTGATTCATTTTCAGAACAATTGAAGCTTTACGATATCATATGATCTTAGATGAACCTCCAGTTCGCTTACGACCTGTACGTCTCCCTCAGAAGTAAAAGTTTTTTTGAAATGTTAAGAGAGAAACTGCGGAAGTAAGATCACATTATTCTAAGGATATAAGCATATTTCGGCAATCTTTTTTTTAGGGTGCTATGTTAGGTTGCATAAAGTCCTTTATATGGTAATATGATCTTGTATACTGGTTATTTAGCTATCAACAAAGCAATGGATTTAAACCACAACCTTTGGATTGTCATGAAATTGTTCTTGATGATAATATGTTTTCATTAATTGATGCATTGGCCAAAAATACTCATAATGTTTGGGCAAGAGAAAAGATTCGTCGTGGATGGACTTTTGGCCTTAATGAGGTAGGCACATTTGTCGTCTTGTTCTTGATATAGTGATCTTTGAACGAATGATACGGTTTATTCCTTGTAGGAAATTATTTCAACTTTTTCCATCCTACAATTCTACAAGTAAATGTAGCAGATCCATACTCCTGCATCTTCTACTAGATTCTCGAATTTCCATTATTTCTCCAGAAACTTTTACTGCTGCAGTTTGTGAATATAAGCCAAAAACGAAGTCCACATTTGGTACCATACGAAGTGGTCGATCAGCGAATCAAAGAAGCTAACAGAGAATCAGCTACAGAATTTATCAAGACCCTGCAATTGTTCGGAATTTTTTTGGAATCGCCTGTTTTAGAACACGATGAGGGTATCCACTGACTTCATTCAATCCTTAGAATAGACAAGTTAAGAATAGCATATATTTAAAGAAAATAATGCTTTTAATTTCCGAAATTCTCCATGAAAACTAGCAATCAGAGATCGAAAATTAGGTCTCAATTTTTATATTCAAACGATAATTATGGCTCAGGTGCGGAAAAGGAATTGAAAGTGACAAAAGCATTTTCGCGCACCTATCGTGCCGAAGCACTGTATGCGGTTTCCAGCGGAAAATGGTACTTTGAATTTGAAGTGCTCACATCGGGATTTATGAAAGTTGGCTGGATGGATATAAGTGCACAGTCAACAGTTGATATTGGAACGGATGATAGGTCATATGGATTTGATGGGTAATTTATTATTTTTTTTATTTTTTCTTTTTGTTCTTGTATAACTCTAAATAATGAAACCCATTACGCTTCAGACTGAGTCTTTTTCATTTTATTAAATATCACTTTTAGTTTCTATTGTTTGTCTTATTAATAAAAAAAAAATAGTTCTTAACTTCATTGAAGTTTGATTCCAGATATTTAGCCCGCAAATGGCATCAGGGAGCTGGTACATATGGAAGAGAATGGAAAATTGGCGATATCGTAGGAGCGTTTCTTGATCTCAGCGATCATACAATATCATTTTCATTGAATGGCGAACTGCTGTTGGTAAAATCTAAAACGATTCCAGAAATTGATTTTCTTCCAGAAATGGCATACAATATATTTTATTTAGAGTGCTTGATGTTAACTGTATTAAAATTAAATCAGTCTTCTTGACAAAAATTAAAAATGAGATTACATTTCTTCAGTTATCTTCATTGCAGGATCCTTCCGGATCAGAAATGGCCTTCGACAATGTTCTTGTAACAGATGGATTTGTGCCAGCAATGACATTTAGTGCAGGACAGAGAGCAAAATTAAATTTTGGCCAAGACTCAAATAGCTTGAAATATTTCACCACATGCGGTCTACAAGAGGGATATGAGCCATTTTGTGTGTAAGTTACGCATATTTTATTTCTTTCTATCTGAAAAAAATGTTTTTCTTTATAAAATCATCTCTTAGAAAGATTCAGGAATTATTTGAGTATCTAAACTACTGTTTTTCTCTAAAAACCTTACAAAAGCAAAAATATTTGTTTTTAATACCGTCTTAGTTCTCTTTAAAATTTTTGTAATTCAATTTTTTCTCAAAGTATTTATTATTATTCTAAATTTAAAATAATTGAAAATTTAGCAACATGTATCGCCAAATGCCGATGTGGTATGCTAAAAGATTACCTCAATTTGAAGATATTGGATTAAATTCAACAATAGAAGTTTCACGAATACCGGCAACCGGAAACAATCCTCCATGTTTGAAGATTACGCAGAAAGAGGTTTCATCGGCTGTTAAATGTTCTGTTTCTAATAGCACTGTAAAACTGAGTATAATTTGAGCAGATTTCACTGAAAATAATATGGAAATCTTAATGTTAACTATATAAAGCCTTCTTTGCTATTAGTATTTTGTAGATCATCATCAGTAAGCTCAATCAGTAGTTGAAGATAGTAATATGGTTCTGAAACGTGCTAGCGAACATCTTCTCCAGAGATCCTTCCTTGCTTGCATCCTTCAAAGAACTACTTATTCTCATGATTTAATAATGAATGAAATTGATAGGACATTCTTCTCGCATATTTTCTGATGTTTTGAAATTGGAAAATAAATTAGAAAAATCGCATATTTTCTAATTTAAAAACATCCCACGCATCATTACATAAATTAAATGATAATTTCATAATTGAGAAACTGGACAGTAGTAATAAGAGGAAAGACTGAACCGGCAATAACCTTTGATTAAACTCACGCAACAGAGAAAGACCAGCGAAAGATGATAGTTTTAAAAAGACAAATTTCTATTGAAGAAGGTTTCTTAATATAAACTTGCTATCACAGGACGCAAGATATTTGAAATGCTACAACAATAACCACGAAATATTTAAGATTGATACGGGTGATATGACAGCTCAGGAAAAGACTAAAATGGAGTACATTCGATTGTCTCTACCTGTGAAATGTAACGAGAAACTTCAGCCTACAAAGTAAGCCTTAGATTGATTAAAATTTATGAATTATAGGAAAGAAAAATATTGGATTTGATGAAATGAATATAAAAGGTTAATGGTTTCAAGGGCTAATATGTCGATAGACAAAATCTAATTTAAATCATTTAATTTAATTTTAGGGATAAGGAGTCAATAATGCGTTCTCTGCATGAGATTGAAAAACAATTGGCTGAAGAAGCACAACCTGTACCTACGATCAGACATCCAGCTATCCCCAAAGAATTTGGTGACGACACTAAAGTAAACAAGGCAAGTATTTCAACTATAGCACCTGCGTATTGTGATCTGTCTGCAAGTTCCTACATCTGTTCGATGCATTACTTATATCATATTGTTTCTCTCAGTCTTATCATCTGGTCATGATATCTCAGTCTGATAGATGTATGTTATGCTCGTTGGATTAGATATTATTCCTGAGATAAAGTGATGCACCAAATTATATAATTGATTAGTGATCTATGATTAAGTGCTGAATCTCTTATGTAGCTGGAAAATGCAATAAACTGTTGGTCTGTTGGTTGGATGAATTCTGATAGTTGTTTTGCTGGAAGAGAACGTCCTCACCGTAATCCTTTTCGTTGTTCTAATCAAACAGAATTTTTAATGAAATTGCCTTAAAGCTATCTTCCTCAGAAGATTGAGACATTATGAAATCAAACTTAACCATCTCTTTTTGTTGGATTCCTTAGATATATGTTAAATTAATGCATAATGCAATCAATAGTTATTATTGCAAAGAATATTACTGTTATAGGAGTTGAATGTGCTGTTATGCGCAGTGTAGATTATAAAATAGTTAAAACCCAGAATACAATCATTTAGAAATCACTTGGACGATCGTTACTGTCAGCTTTCAAACACAGTACAGAAGAAGATGAAAATTCGGCACGCTCAAAACCAATATCGTTTGATAGTGACCATCATCTTACAGAAACATCTACCATAAGGTATTGTTTAATGCTAAGCTTGCTTTTTTTTTTTCAGAAATTTGAATTGTTCATAAATAAAGGAAAAATTAATGAAAAACGATTTGAAAAAGAAAGCAGCAACGTAACTGTTGGCATCAAACCTTTAAAAATCCTCAACTTTTTAAACTTTAATTTGAATTTAACTAAAAAATTTAGACTAAGACTGTCACCTCAACTTTTGAATTAACTCGAACCATGCACCCAAGTGTTAATATTGATATATCATGGAATTAATAGTACGACTTTATTTCATGATGAAGTAATATTAAAATTTAGCCTTCTCAGACAATCATGTGTTAGCATTTTTAACTTATTCTTGAAAATCAGAAATATGATCGCAAAGTTAAAGAATAATAGTTTATTTTTTAACAGATCTTGAGATATTTCTTTCAATCTAACAAATGTAAGATTTAAAAGTTGAAAATACAAGCGATAATTGGACAGTAAGTAAGAATTAATTAGGTTGAAAAACGAG